AATATTGAATTATTTATCAATGACATTGAGTCGAGCTTTTAACCTTCTCCGTCAATTGTGTGTACACTACGAATTTATGTGCCTCTACAAGTATTTCCATATTTTTTAGTTGACTATCAAAAATGCATGGGAAAATGTCCTATTATTAGTCATACATAAATTAAATTTGTTAGGATGAGGAAGTTGATATAAATAAATTGACATCTCAAAAATTTCGGTAGCAAATCCAGGTTCTCAATCGTACAGCCGACAGGGCAGCAAACGTTCTCTGTGAGCCAATGGATTCGACAGAAAAATAAAAAATTTGAGGGGTAACAAAACTAGAATTTCTATTTTTCAGATGTATGATTATAGAATAGAAGTGTCGGCGCTGAAGAAATAGGCCCATGGTATGATTGATGTATGATTTCTATTTTTCAGATGTATGATTGAACAAGCAAGCAAAATTTATTCAACATGGATGCAATGTTCATTGCTAACTTCAGAAATGTTTTTCAAATGAAATTGACATATTGTTCCGATCACTTAACAGCATCCTGTCACGTCAGGTAAAGATAATTTATTCATTATCTTCAAATAGCTCGGAGCAGTTATTTTCTATCGGCTTATTGATATTTTCAGCATTGTAAATAATGGACCCTGCAAACCAACAAAGTTTGAATATAATTTATGAAATGAAACATCGTAAGCTTCTTCTAAACACTCGTTTTCTGAATCTTCTCGATTCTATTAATCACCTATAGCCTATAGGCCCAAGACATTCACATTTTATGAGCTAACGGAGAATTTACAACAGAAAACGAAAGTTGAGTATATTAGAAATATATTCCCGAATTGGGTGCAAATACCAAATATACAGGCACGTACCAGAGTAAGTATTATAATTCCATTAATAAATGGAATTGTATTTCACACTACGAGGCGAAGTATAAGCAGCTCTGAAATTTACGTAACTGATTCTAAAATGTTGATCACGTGTAGAATTCAAAAGCAGAACGAGTATTGATATAATTTACATTATAATATGAAATTATAAATAATTTTAGCTGAAATAGGGGGTATATTTCATGCAATGTACCAATTCTTGATATTATACACAGATTGGTGGCTTGGCGCCCCCAGGTGATGGCGCTGTGGGTCTCCCGCTGTTATGGCGCGCTGTTGCCTGCCTCAACATTTGTCACATTTGACCTGCTATTAAAATATAAGTCAGGAAATTTCAGATCGCGCCAAACAAGTGGATGATTTGATTATAACACAGATTTATTTCTTCCAGTTTGCACCGAAGTGCATCTTGCAATCATCTAATAAATTTAACTATAATATTAATCATAGTTTATAGTAGTTGCTCGGAGGATATCGAGTCTATCGAAGTTTCTCATTTGATTGTAGTTTATTTCGAAGTCTCGCAGCCACTGAAACTTTTATAGAATACCAATATTGCCGCCAAGTCCTCAGAAAGCATGAAGCATTAATTTCCATCTATCAAAATGATGTTCTCGATGTCAAACGCAACTAACATTAGAGATGTACAATGGTTAAATACAATGATTAAAATAATATAGTATTTTAATATAAATACTGTAGTATAACTGTATAAGTCAATTAATAAATGAAATTGTATAGTTACGTCAAACTACGAAGTGAAGTAAAAGCAGCTTTGAAAGTTTATAAACTGTTAATAAAATGTCGTTCACGTTAGTAATTAGAATGGAGAACAAGTATCGATATAATTTATAATCTCAACTGAAATTATGTGATAATTTTATCCTTTATATAATGATATTATAATTCAAGATATAAGTAATTATTACAATATACGTATTAACTGGCACCCAGTACATCAGAACGGCGCTGTGGGTCCCCCGCAGTTATGGCGCGCTGTTGTCCGCCACAGCATTTGCCTCATTGGACCTGCAATAAATAAAGTCAGGAAATGTCTGCAGTATCTATCAGACAGAAGACTAAATAAAAATAATACCAACTTCTGGCCTAATAAATAGATGATTAAACTTTTCTTTCTTAAAGTTTGCACGGAAGTCGCATGTTAACAATCTAATATATTGAACTTCATCTTTGCTCGTAGTTAGCAGTAAAGTTGCTCGTATGAGAACATAAAACTTTCTCACTTATTTGAAGTCTCACAGCAAATTAAATTTTTTTTAGAACACCACAAAAGAGAGTGCACAAGTCGATGTTTCAGGAAAATAAAAATAATTTTGTGTTTTTAGCGCATTTTCTCATTAATGGAAAAAAGGCGCTATTGTTCTCCCCATGTCCGTCACTCCGTCCGTCTGTCCGTCCGTGACTTCACGTTTTCGTCGACGAGAAAATGCGCGCTCTGTCACTCACTGCAGTGAGTACTGAGTTATATTTTTATTAATTATGTGCTTTTCAAGGAGGTGTTTAAATTCTATTCCGACATGCACCACAAGAACGTGATCTCTGTTTTAGGGAGCCAAATAATTTTATATTAAGGCAGTTATAATTTTTATCGTCAATTACCGAGGATTCATCCCTTTGGCCTTCTATACCATCGATTATAAGTAAACAAATACACTAGCATTTATTTATTGCACTTAGACGCCAACTATATGTTCAATATTGTAATATATTAATGGACAGTTTAGGGAAAATATAGATATATATTAATGACTGGCTCATGATTTGCGCCAGAGATCCTCTATACAATTTCGATATGAGCTACTTGGTAGCCTACAAAAAGTATATCCGTCTGTCCGTGACTTCAAATTGTAGTGAATTATTCGCGACCGGTTCGTAGCTACTGAGTACGTGATATTCCTTTGCAGAAACTAAGCTATTTGTGAGGTTACTGAATTTTTCCGCCGTTGCCTCACGTTTAATAACAGCACATAAAAAATTATATCAGTACTCACTGCAGTGAGTGACAGAGTGCATTTTCTCTGCTCCGTGAAGTCACGGACGGACGGACTTGACCAGCACAATCGCGCCTTTTTAGCACATATTCTCATTTATGGAAAAAATTAAAACTCAGTACTCACTGCAGTGAGTGATTTGAGAGCGCATTTTCTCGTCGACGAAAACGTGAAGTCACGGACGGACGAACAGACAAGCAGCCGGACGGACAGACGGACATGGCGAGCACAATAGTGCATTTTTTCTGTAAATGAGAAAATGCGCTTAAAAGGCGCTAGACTATGCTCGTCAAGTCGTCATGTCCGTTCCGGACCGTTCGTGACTTCGCGAAGCAGAGAAAATGTCTCTCACTCATCTCACGCTCTCTGTCACTCATTGCAGTGAGCACTGTTCTATTTTTTTCATTGTTTGGTGGATGTGCTATGACGCGCTACTAAGCGTAATAATATTTACATTTATAATATCTCTCGCGTGGACACTCACTGGATGCTGAAAAACATTTTAGTTTCTGCTCAAAAATATTTTCTATGAATTTTCATGTTCATGTCATAGAAAATGTACACCATGGCAAACGCTCATGGTTTAACCAATTTGTGTCATGTGTTTTGTCTGTGTTTTTGCTTATTATAACCTTCATATTAATTCAGATAAAAAATTTTTTTTTCTAGATCAGAGTTAAGAAATCTTTTCTCTATATAAAATATTTCTTCTGTATTTGTTAATGTATTTATGTTTGAAGTACATTATGAAATTAATTACATTTTAAATTTAATAGAATGAGAAATAATTTTCAAATGTTCAACGATGTGTAATGTTCCACAATAACAGCGACATGGATTAGGAAAACCTAGAGAGATTTCTATTTCCTGTTGCGTATTGAGGAGTGCTTTCGAGATACTTTTTCGATTACTTTCATCGGAGACAATAAATCGAGCAATCTAAAATTTTTGCGGCCAATTTTAATTGGTCAAAATGCCATCTTTCACTTCTTCAAATCTGACTTTTTAAAAATCTCATCCTTTCTTCCCATTGTACCTTGGATGCATTGTTCTTATACTAATCCAGGTTTCAATTTCTCAACGATAATTGTACTGCATGAGTATGCTTTATGCGATTATGCCACATTATAGACTCTACGCCATACACGGTTACCTTATGTTCATGTAACCCAGTGGTTCCCAAAGTGGGCGGTACCGCTCCCTTATGGGTGGTAGAAAGATCTAAGCATGGTTGAACTATATAAGGTTGACCCACGAGAAGATCCTTCTTTCAGTTCAGCCTTCTTGTTACGTCACGTAGATCGAGAAACGTAAACAAACCCGTCATCCCCATGACGGATTAGTTGACTGGTTTGAACGCGTTTCGGTGATTGGTTAATGCCCGTGACGTCACTGAGATCAGTGACGTCACAGGCGAACAACGAACTACATCCGCAAAAATGGGCTTCTGATGGGTCAACCTTATACTAGTTAATTAAACCATGCTCAGCTATAAGGTTTTCCACCAATATCTGTTTTTAGCCTCTTCTTTTTTACGAGTGTAAATTTTTGAAAATATTCAAAATCTGTTTTTTTTGTGCGTCTGTGGGGCTTTTGGGGGGGTTAGGAATTCAGTGAGGAGCCAAGGGGGAGCCAGCCTGCAAAAGTTTGGGAACCATTGATGTAACCTAACCTACGGCTACCATTTGTCTCTGATGAGTGTAATCTTGTGGGATACGCAGCCGTGCATCACTAAATTTGTGCACCAATCAGCCTTGAAAGGAACGCCTAGCATATTTCCGGATGACCACCAATCAGCCGCCTGAGCCGCGGATTAAGCCATCCGTCGGTAACCAGCCCGTGACATCATCTTGCTTTAAATATTAGGATCCGACAGGCGTCCCCAAGGTAATCAATTGCTTCAGCCAAGTCGTCAAAGAAATGGAAAACAAATTCAACCAGAGGGGGAGCCGTAAAGATGTCAAGGATCTATTTGTTAGCTTGTCACGATGAATAATTCCTATCACCGAGGCACGGCATTAATGGTATCTAACGAGGGCAGCTGGCTGGTCATTGGGAAGAAGCCAAAAAGGGTATAAATAAAAGATTATTTTAAGGGAAATCTTTTGAGAATCATATTAATAAAGCAGGTCTTCAAGAGATTTTCCGACGCACATAGTAATTATAAATTTTCCCTGAAGCTCTCCCACGTGAGAATCAGAGTTAAAAACAAATCGTTCAAATAATAATATTTTATTTGAAAGTGCAATTTCTATTATATATGATAGCTTCAACTCATATATATATATCCACCCTACTATCTTCATGTGAACCTGGCCAGAGTTGAAGCTTGTCTCACTTGAAATTGGTATTGGGTTCGTAAGTGCAATTATTTAAGCTACGGGCGCTAAATGAAGCAGTCTGGAACTCTGAGGAAAACCGCTATTAGATCGCACGAGTTGCTTGAGGAAAATTGGGCGGCCGTCCTTCGGTTAGTGTACGTTTCAATTAGAAGTTTACGGTAAGGTTTACTGGGTTACTATACGGGATTACTGTACGTTCCTTTAGATTCAACAGGTAAAGTGCTGAAAGTGTATATAAGAAGTAATTAATGTAATACAGGAGTAAATACTGAAACATAGAAGTAATTACTGTAAAACATAAGTAAATAATACAGAAGTAACTGTTTTGCCGAGGTAATTATTGCAAGGTCTTATGACTTCATTGACTGGCGGATCCAGTCATTGAAGTGAGCTACTGAGGTGTACACGGAAGGTTGTCCAGGAGTACCACAGTTTGGCGCTCCGAACGACGTGATGGCCAGCACATAGGAACGCTGGTCTTTGTTCAGCTTCATCACTGGGCCTCCAGAGTCACCAAAGCACGTGTCTTCTAGCCCTCCACCGATGCACATCTGAATGGCATTTAAACTTGTTAATGTATCTTTATGTCTTCTGTAGCAAGATAAGATGTTTTACATCCTCTAATGTCAATTTGAGGAATCGAACAACTTCTATAGTTAGTTTTAGCGCTTCACCGAAGTCATATCAAACAGGTTTTTGCTTGTGATTAAGATGGCATGTCGATGCACATGTGATGGAATAATATTGTTATCTCAGCGTCATTACACTCACGTGCGCTCCGTTAAGTTGAAAATTCGAAGAATAAACTCGTTTGCAGACGGACGGTTCTGCGATGTTGAGGCGAACCTCTTTCAGCACGTCGCTAGCGTCACCAGTTACGGTGTCGCCCCAGCCAACCGCAACCACGGTTTGGTTCACCGAGACTTCAGAGCTCCCAAAGTTCGTTGGCGGCAGGCAGATTGGTTGAATAAAACCTATGAGAAATATTTCATGATTCCCCAATAGAAAATAGGCTTTGTTTGTCTGATAGTTTCTCATTTAATTCGTCTCATTGAAAGTAAATATGCTTAATCCGCTAGCCTATTAATGCATTTAATTATCGGTAGGTATGGAAAGCCTTTTTCTGCCTTCAGAGTTGAAAATTCCGTCGATCTATCGACAGGCTTCCCAAGTTCCAATTATCTATTTTATACCGTATAAAGAATTACGGACACTCACGATTAAAATTGACCTCGCTCTGCAGTCTTATTAGAGCGATATCGTTGTTCAGCCTCGAGGGTGTGTTAAACCCCGGATGCACGACCACTTCTTCAACTAAGACGGAAAGGCGCTCAGGAGCACAGACGTTGTCCGAGCAGTCGGGGTCTGTGCTCAGCCTCCAGTCCCCGAGAGTCACATGCGTCCTGCGTGGGCGAATCAAACGGATAAGCGTTTCAAAAAATTATATGACATTGTTTTTCCAGCTATAATCCTGTGAACTGCGCTTGTTATGGCGCAGAGCACGCATATTGCGTTCAAGCTTTGTGGGAAAATGCGTTAAATAACTTCGTGTTTACTGTTGCAGTTACTGCACAATATACATGTGAGCTAGCGTCGTGCAGTACCAGCCTACCGCATGCTCACAGTTTCCTCCCTCTTATGTAGCTTGGCGCGACGCACTGCGCAGCAGTCAGTACATAGCGTCCACTGACCAGCGATCCCCCGCACCGAACTCTCCGCTCCCCATTTTTCGTATCTGCAAGTGACAGTAGCAAAGATAGTGAGTGACCATCAGATGTTTTACTGCTGGTCTCAAATTTCGGTTTATTATTCTCAAGCTTTCGGAATTTTTCGAAGAATGTGTTAAAAACTCAAGATAATTTTTCTTCCGTGTGAAAAAATTAATTGGCGTTAATTTAAAAAATTTCATTTTTTTGATCATTGGTATTCAAAGAAGCTGAAGATTACTGGTGTTGTCATAGCGGATTGTATGAATGTTGTAACCGTCGTTGGCCATTATTTTGTATTTAGATTGGATTGAATTAAAAAAACTATGATTTTTCGGGAGTTGACATTTTTTGCTGATGCAACAAACGTATTGCTTTAAACTTGGCTCATGTTGTCGTTGCCACGCATGGTATTATTCCAACTCAAGGACTTCAATGCTAAATTATCACAAGTTTTAGGAAAAAATGCACACTCTAATTTCTTTTGATCAATACCTTGAGAGTCATGTGGAAATTTCAATGCATACCAAAACGCTTATATTCGACATTCAGGCACTGCCACTATAGTCACTCATCAGCATGTAACGTTTTATTATTATGGAGTTACTCAAATTGAGTTTTGAAATACGACAATGCACATGACAGAGTTAATTATTAAATAAGTTGTTTATTATCCATCTATTATTATCCATCATCCTTGAAAATACTGAATTTGAATAGAATTTAAAAATAAATATTTCATTAAATAAGAATAATAATATGAATAAATCTGATCTAAGTCTGCCTTTCCTCCAAAGGAACTGTCATCTCAATCAATCGTCAGTTATGGAAAGGTCGGGTTCCAAAGGCCGGATCCCTTGTGAATCAAGTCACGAAAATTCAAGAATCGGCAACAGGCCATGGGCCTATTTCTTCATTGAGGGAATATGAGGACAATGTGAGGGAATATGAGGACAATGTGAAGGAATATGAGGACAATGTGAGGGAATATGAGGACAATGTGAGGGAATATGAGGACAATGTGAGATAATATGAGAACAACGTAAGAGAATATGAGGACAATGTGAGAATAAGAGGACAATGTGAGGGAATATGAGTACATTGTGAGGGAATACGAAAACAATGTGAGGGAATATGAGGATAATGTGAGGGAAAATGAGGACAATGTGAGAGAATATGAGGACAATGTGAGGGAATATGAGGACAATGTGAGGACAATGTGAGGGAATACATTTACATGGCCTGACTCACCGACAATGCGTGACGCGGTCAGCAGCAGCAGGGTGACCATCGCTGCATTAGTCGCCGTAGAATTCATTTCTGAATGAAGAATCAACTATCCTGTTGAGTGTGCGTAAACTGAATTAAACCTGCAGTCAAGCTCTGCGTGTGTAAATAAAAGTGACATTAATGAATGGAAACAGAGGGTTTGGATATTTAGTCTTGGCTCAAGAAATTTAATGGCCTTAATTCAAAAATTTTTCACGAGCTAAACATCACCGCTATATTGGTCTTAATTAATACGTGTACTTTCGTTGAGTTACGTGCATTACTTTGGGACATATTTCTTGATCATAGAATTTGGAAATTGGCCGTGAGACCAGCCGTGAGGCCGTGAATTTGTCCGAGACGTAAACCCAGGAGAGGTAAAAAAACAGATCTGGGCGGAAAAACCCATCGCTGGGAGTCATATGCTGCACGTGTTTTGTACAAACCGTCAAACAAACGTTCGAACTTCTGGCTTCGACTTCGCGGACTGCCGCCCCCCTATATACTGCCCCTTTATTCCTCGCCTCCCCCCAGATCTTTCGACCGCCCCCAGGGGGTACAGCCCAATTTTGGAACCACTGCTCTAGAGTCTATAATTCTAGACGGAGATACTCAAGTATAATTTGTGATTTGAGAAAGAACAAATAACATTTGAGAAAGAAGGAATAAATTTTATCATCGGAGGGCTTGAAGCGACGAACACTGCATGGAACGTTAAAGTAGGTGAGTAAGATGATGTTGTGTTATTCAAGCCCTGGATTTTTGTATTAGAATAAATTAACTAATTTGTGTTTAGTAACGTCGAAAACGGGAAAATACTGCAAATATAAAGTAAATAAATATTTACAATCCGTCATCAAATTATTCAGTTAGAATGAATAAACATTTCATAGGAAGAATTATAGTGGGTAAGGTCAATAAGGTCAATTGACGAGCTAAGTTCATGGTCAGGAGCTAAGTTCTGAAGTGCGACTCGCTTGAATGTTTCTGCATCAATGACCTCCAACATAAACGAGTTGCTACTTAATATTGACTGAGCCCGTATCCGGAAAGCTGCTGATAAGAAAAAAATGAAGAAAAATTCAATTTACCAAAACTGAGGAAACAGGCAACAAATCAAGTTAGGTGCGAAATGGTAGTTTCTAGTAATAGTGGTAAGCAGCCAAATGTGGTAGAAAAAAGAAGTAGTATAAGTAGCAGAAGCAAGTATAAGTATATGTAGCTACAGCACGTAGTAGTAGTAAGTGTTGGTAAGTAGCAGGGATAACTTGAATTAACTTGATTGACATCGTATTATATCTTTAACGATTAAACAACAGTAACCGCTTTATCAGAAACTGCCTCCTTGAGAACTTTACTACACGTAAAAGTAAACTATAGAGCGAAGCTGTAATTGCATGGTTCCACGCAAGCGCCGACTCTGGACTATATAAGACGGCATCCCATGGAGACGGGAGAAGCGTTCAAAGCACCAGAGAGTTGAATAATGAGCCTGCGCATCACATGCGAGGAGTTTTAAAGGCCAGACTGGGACTAGACAAACCGGAAAATTTCACATGAACTCCTGGAAAAATTAAAAAAGCGGATTGATTTACAGGAACTTCTGCATCAATTCATCGATTCTAACGAAAAACGAACACGTAACGAAGACCGTGACGTGCGTCGGTGCTTCGTTGCAACTCCATACACATCCTCCAACTGAAATTTTAATGATCGGTATTATGAGCATTAAATGGTCTAAAAATTTGCATCCTGCAGCGACCAAAATACGTTAGAAATATTACAAATAATATTTAGTCCACAGTTCAGGCCAATCCGACGTTTTTCACGTGAAACCGGAAACACCGCCGCGAAGTCTAAATAGTTACGGGCAGAGGTGGCCAGTAGCGCGCTACATGTAGCGGCCGCTACTAGTCAGAGGTGGGCAGTAGAGCGCTACGTACATGAAGCGGCCGCTACATTTTCAGTAGCGGTAGCGGCGCTACATTTAACGCAATGTAGCGCAGCGCTCGCTACATATTTAAGTAGTGATACGAGGTTTTGCCGCTGTAGCGCTACCGCTACATTTATAGATAAAGCCTTTTGATTTTACTAACTAGTATTAAATATTATTTAAAAACCAGCATGATACATACATAATATAAATTACAGAATAAAACTGTACGAAAGATTTCAGTGTATTGTCAACCTCAGCCTGTTACTAGTGTCAACATGTTAGTTGTTATTTGTTAAGTTGGTACTTATATCCACAGTTAATTTAATTAATTATTAAAGTTAAAAAGTTAAGTAGGTTAAAGTTAAGTTAAGTTAATTATCCACACATATAAAAAAGACTGCTTTTTTATATGTGTATGTGGATGATTTTTGAGATTGGTAGATTAAAGTTGTCCGGTGTCAATTCACTTGACCTGATAAAGATTGAGGACGAGTCAACATCTGATAGACACGTGATAGATCACGCGATCAGACCTCAGTAGTGGGCGGAAGCGAAGCTAATAAAAGGTCAAGCAACCTTAAGCAAACCCCCCAGTAGCTGATGAGCACTGCGCGATGTAGCGTGTCGGTAGAGTTCTCCGACCTTACGGTCGATGCCGTAGCTTATTCCTCTGCATCGCAACTCTGTATTACCACCCCGTTTACGAGATACGTTATCTGGACTTATGTGCATGTCTTACATATCCCTCACTACCTTAGTCAACGTAACCCGATCCCGAAGTAGACATCCATGTAGGGAAGGTAAAACATAAAAATAACTGTAACTTTTATTTACTGTATCTAACCCGTAATAGTTCGGTTAGGTTAATTGCAATAAAGTTGCATTAATATGTTTTGAAAATGTTTTATTAACAATAAATGCTTATGAGTAAATACCAATAGCAGAACAATAAATATTTAGAAATTTCTAATAATTTTGGCCATTGTAGCGGCTAGCGTAGCGGCGATACATTTTACAGTAGCGGTAGCGGTAGCGCCCGCTACAATCTAGTGGGTGTAGCGGTAGCGGTAGCGCCAGCTACATTTAGAGCATGTAGCGGTAGCGATAGTGGCCGCTACATTTCAAAGTAGTGCTGCCCAGCTCTGGTTGCGGGTAGCGTACCGACTTTACGGTGACTTGCGTATTGGTTTTAACACAAGAGCTAAAGAGTCGCTCTTTGGTCCGGCTCTAAATTTTGCGAATTGAACGACTGTTAACCGCCCAACGCAGCCAAAACCTGGAACTATCCAAGAACTCCACCTATGCCGTTATTAGTCCGTTAGTGGAACTCATTAAGAGTTATGCCCAGAACTGCGGTGGAGTTTATTCTTAAAAGTCCGAATTTGGCTCCGCCTATTTAGAGTCGAAACCGTGACACCCCAACCCAGTAACACTGAGCACACACAACATCTCAGCGAGGGGTAACTCAGCCAAAATAAGCTTACCTCACCCGTTTACAATGTACAAAACAGACCGTAAACACTTTCTAAGTGCAAGAAAAAATAGATAATATAATACAACACATAAAGTCATCATATTTTCAATCATTTGGCAAACTAATCGCAGTTAAAAGTCGAATAATCCTAAACTAATTCCAAAGTGACCTAACTCTCCAACGTTCATGACTATCTAGCGCGCTCCGTCACCAGGCCTGGAGCAGCTCAACCATTCACGTTGGAGCCACACATTCAGTCTCGTCCCAAGACGCTAACAACTAAATCCTAAAAATATCACAGCTAGGCGAGATTCCATATTACAGTCTTGAAATAAATATTTGTTTACGCATTGCTTACTCAGTCACGAAAAGTTCAAGAATCGGCAACAGGCTATGAGCCTATTTCTTCAACGCCAACACTTCTATTCTATTCGATCTATTCTACATAAATTAAACCCTTGAGTTAGCAAAATAATATCACAGTTTAATAAGATTCCATATTACAGTCATAAAATAAATGTTACCAACAATTGACTAGTCACTAATCTAAGCACAAGATTAATAGAACGTCCAGTCGAACTAATACTTCCTAGAAACAAAAAAATATACCACGAAATAAGCTTCGATCCCGTCGTACAGTATGCGACTTTCAGCTACTCTGACCTTCAGAGTCCTGTCCGACGACCTCCAGCTACTCCGAACTTCTCAACGTTTCTCGAAAATAGCAACACACGCCGCTGCGCCCGAGCACAGGGGGGAAGAAATTTTCCTGCACGCGCTTATATTGATCATATTCAAACGTCGTTCCAGCGTTAATGAAGACACGGAAAAACGCCTATGGATAAATATGGATAATGTTTTTTAATTCTTATTTATAGGTATGGTTTTGTGTGTTCTGCGTTACAGTTACTGATTTTACGATGTTCTTGCTTTTACATTGATTCTACTGGGAAATATTTTTTTCGACATACGAACATTTCTTTATGCGAACCCAGTCACGGAAGGAATTAAGTTCGTATAAAGAGGTATACTTTATACTTGTAGTGATGCGCTGTATAGCCTGTGTACCGAGTTGATTAACAACAGAGGGAGTAGCAACGCGGCTTACATGGAATGACTCCGCCATGTTTGTTGCACACTCGCGCCTTAGCTTACTCTTTCGTTCCTACACGTTTCGAGGTTTTGGTGCAATGGAGAAAGAAAGAGCAAAGCATTAAGCTATTATCGAAAACTCTTTCCTCCAGCGAGAGACCGGTATTTAAGAAAATTATTCGACATTAACGATGTTAATCTCTGCGAAGTTCCGGCAAAGCAGTGTTGTGCAAATTTTGCAAGCCTGCCTACCATTTACAAGGGAATTTAATAAACTATTTGTTGTCAGCCAATACACCTTTAAAGGCATACAAGACGCTTTCAAACAATTCGTGGAGCAAGTAACAGATTTCGAGCAGGCCACATCGCAGTCTATTCTTTAGCGCCGATATCACTATGAGTATGACATGGTATCAAGGCTGCTGATTGCCAAGGAGAAATTACTTTCAGATATATACAACCATGGTTGAACTTTATATACTATTTCAACCATGTATACAACTGATATCAATTTTTTTTGGCGGATTAATCCAATGTTTGGAGCGCTACGTAAGTTGCAGATGCTCTCCGTACCGCATTTGTATTGGATTAGGGATTTCACCGTGAAGGTGAGAAGACGTGCTGTGCCTAAACTCTAAAATGAAAGTTCATGACCATAGTAACTAAAACTAGTCTTCTCAGTTCTGAATTCAAATAACCAGATATTTCTTATAAAAATTTGAAGTTCTGAATTTAGAGCGTTCATGTGGAAAAACAAGATGAACCCAAATCTGGGAACAAAACCCCTAGACAGCCAAGTGAGCCAACCGGCATGAATGTCCAAGATGAAGGGAACTGAATCTGAACTTGAACCCTACCCTTCGGCTTCATCAGCACCAGACTCCAGAGAGAACTACCTCAACAATTAACAAAGACAACAATACCTGAAGACAAGGAAGCAGATCCATTACCAAAATGCGAGTGCCATCAGGCATCAGGGCCAGGAAAAGACATCTGAGTCTGACTAGCAACTAGCCTGGATCCCTGGAACTTGGAACGTTGGCAGTTGGAACAAGATCACAAATTGCCCAATCAACTATGAGTATGGGAAAAACAGGAGTAATAAAAAATCAAAAGCATTTAGACCACATAGCCTGCAGCATGGAAAGTCAGTCAAAGTCTCACCGCTATAGACTCAAATCCTGAAGAGGCTGAAAGTGTCTTATCCTCCAGCCCAGCAATGAGCAATTGATCATCAAAAACAGACCTGACCTGCAAGTCTGAAGTCTGCAACATGGAAGTGATGGAACCAAATGTTAAATTGCAAAGACCTTCAAAATGAGCCTAAATTTGTTTATGAAATGTTTCATTGCAACTTTGTAGTTTGTAAGTTATCAACAAAAAAAGCATCCCTTATTACTCCATTTGATGGTATTTATATTATCTAATTTAAATTTCAAAGTCCCACTGCCACTGGTAGTACAGTAGTACTGATTTGCTAGGTAAATATTCTGTTTGCCTGTAAATTTAAAGGCCTCTTAGGTGCAATATTCTTGATGTAAAGTTTCTTCATAGTCATAGACTCATAGTACTATAGCTAAGTAGGGTGGTCATTATCCTATTGTCTGATCATCTGATGTCTGGTTAACCCAAAAATTGACAATTTTACACTATAAGTCTATAATAGTATAATTAAGCTTGCATATTAAAATGAGACAGATAACATAGTAGGAGACTAGGAGTTGTATCAAACATGACTTTTTTCAGAAATCAATTGAAATCTTTGCAAAAAAAATATGCCTTCAGAAACCTACTATACTTGTCACCACTTGTTAATAAAGATACTAATAATCAATCATCTGATCATCTGATACTAATAATCAATCATGCTTTTGATATTTAATTTCAGAATTGATCACTGAGCACTGGACTCCCATTTATAGTACAATTGAACTATGTCCAATATAAGTTCATATGTAGTTTAGGTGATTAGGTTGGGCTGTGTTGTGGCTGATCTACTGCTTGCACACAGAAAACATTTGCCATGGAAATTCTCCCTCGACAGGTGAGGTATCTTCTTACTTCTTATGCTTGCAAGTGTTTCATATAATCTCATTTCATCATGTTCATGTCATTGTCTTATACTTATGGCTTAGCCATCTCTAATTTAGTTATGAAATTGTCAGTATTTGTTCAAAACATCCTTCATCACATTTAAAAAATTATTCAAATGATCACATTTTTATTGGAGATTTTGCTACTCCAAAATTTCTCATATAGGTATGCTATATATTTCTGAATTATTTTTGTCTTCTCTATCTATCCAGATCCAGGTGCTATTATTGACTCTTTCTTGTGGTGGAATTGATTATGATAAATACTGTACTGTGAAATTGGATAAATTCACTATGTCACCAACCCTCCCACCCCCTTTATTAACTCCACTAAAGCCTGCATATCGTATCAATCATTTGGCTCATTTATATGAAATCTATATTATTTTTTCAAGTGTCAGGTGTATCAAGAATCTATTTTTCAGGTTTAATGTTGATAAAATGTAAAATAATTTAAATGTAATAGCATAATAATGTCACTGAAAAAATAGAATGTAATAATTTAACAACTGAAACTGAAATGTAGTTCATAAACACTTTGTGTCAAGAAATAATAATGTATTTGTCACACACAAAGCCTACTAAACTGGCTGATGTGCTTCAAAGTCTCACAATTATATTTTGGTGAATATATTTTTTTCTTGGGGTAAAGTTTCATTTATGCATTCACATGCAAATTTTTTTTCTTTAATGTACCTATATGAGGACTGTCTCTCTTTTTCTGTCAATATCTGAGAATTTTTCCTTTTTTGTCAGTATTACTGGTATATGCCCAAGAAGAAAATAGTTTGCATGTCTAATCTTTAGAGTGTGCAAGCAGGAAAACCTTGTGTAAACTTGTGAAAAAATTTGTGCTGGATGTTATGGTATATTGTTTAGGTTGTTTATGTATCATGTTGAACAAAAATTTTCTCTAAGATCTAGGTGCCCCAGCTTGTGATCAAATTTTTGTAAACTATTTAATTCCTGCTTTAAAATTATAACATTACCTAAATTATATATCTAACTACATGTAATTAAAAATGTATTGAAAGCAATTTGAAGTATGCCCTTTCATAGATATCCTGCTAAAATGTCCTGAGTGTCTAATTTTACAGCCCATGATCCATCACCACATTCACTTGACCCATTCAATAGTCCATAGCCTCACTAATGTCCCATAGTTTGTTCTTAACCTGAGGCAAATTTAGTTTTTTACATTACAAAATATTGTTAAAAATTTAATAACATTTAATGAGATGTGATAATTTGTCTACTTGACTTAGAAGGATCCAGTATATTTTATTTTGTGATTCATGTCCAATAATTTTGCATTTTACTAATTTCATCAGCAATTTTAGCTGTGCATGTTTTCATTTTTATTCATTGGGTTCTATATTTGCAGATTGCCTGTCTCGGTGTGCGGCAAAGCTACCTCCACTCTTCTCATCACCATGGAGGCTTGTCTGCTTCTGCTTTAATGCTGCAGGTTGACAAAGAAATACCTACCAACATATTGAACATTTATGATAAAACTTGTCAATGAAGCTACTGCTCTGTTCATAAATTTGTAAAAGATTTATTAAATGAATGAGAACATTATACCTTCATTGCAAACAAGGGAAAGGCTTTTAAATGAAGTCATGTATATATAACTGTACATTAACGTTAGATGCACTTGTATTGTTTGCTTTAACTTCTGTTTTAACTCTCCTGTTGTCTTCATTTCTGGTATAAGGTATGTCTCTAGCCTTCTTTGCTTATGGTTGGAATTGTTCACATCTAAACAAGTGCATAAATACTGTGTCATCTGGTTTCATATTAACCGAAGACAACAAGAGGATTGAAAATATTTCTAAATATGCAGGTGTGTAGAAGTGCACAAACACAGTCATGTCGCGCCATCTGCAACATTGGACAACCTTGGGTGCCTCCATCACCTCCATGTCCAGCAGCACCTCTAAGGCAGCCTGCTGCTCGTTACTCAGCACCTACTGCCCTGAAGCAGATCCTCCCTCGCCTGCCTGTCCCTGCGCTACAGAGTACCATTCAAAAGTATTTGAAGTAAGTTATGTACGTACGGTACATGATAGTACTTAATTTGGTAGTAGGTACTTAATGGACATCTGACTGAAAATTATTCAGGTTTGAATCAAATTTGGCTTGATTTGTATGACCATGAGACCTTGAGACATTTTGAGGTCTGACATGGCATTGAGAACACGCAGATGTTTTAGGCTCCCGAGTTCATCAATTTTGATTTGGAATGACATTAAAAAATTATAATCTCTTAATTTTAGAATTTATGCTTGAATCTGAGTAGTGCAGAGTTTTCTGTGGTGCACATAACTATAAATGGGATGTTTGGGGTGGGGTCAAATTTTTCACCCAATTAACTGTTAAGTCTTGAAACAAGTAAACCTGGGGCAATGAAAGGAAAGAGGTGGCAATGAAGGATTCTGGACTGTAGGATCAGTGTAGTGAAAGCAACATGTATTATGGAGTATAGTGAATGAAAATTATAAATCGTACTACATATATGCAGCTCTTTAGTAAATCTTTGTCAGAGCCAAAGAAAAAAAGAGACATTGAACAACAAACTGGAATTCCTAGCACATTGCATGTTTCTGAAATGAATGTGATGCACTTGTGACAACAATCCATGAAGCATTGATCAAAATTTAAATTTCAAGGACTGGAAGAGTTACACTAATTGTGCTCACTTATAGGCTGCTTATACTTATAGGCTCACTTATGTTTCAGGCAAGGACTACTACACACAGGACATGCATAGCCTATGTCCAGCCTCTGCTAGCAGAGGCGATCGCCTACACTATGAAAATGCTGGTGTTTTAGTGGCATCAACAAATGATATGCCCATAATTGTTTCATACAATAGTATTACAATGTGTGTAGTAGTCCTTGGTCAGAACCATAGACTTTTTGCCAGTTTTGAAGTTCAAAATTTTGTACTAAGCAAAGTAGGTACCATTTTCCTGCCTTCATACACTGATAAAAAAAATATTTAAATGGAGTNCTACACTAGGTATCTTTTACTGTCCTCTTATTGCATTATCCATTAGATTAATGTGTTGGAAATTCAGTAGATAACTGCAGTCATTGTTTTGAAATGGAAGCCCGTTCGCAATATTCGGAATATTTAACCGAAAGCCCATTTGCAAAATAAACATTATACAAATGATGCCTGCTAAAAATGTAATCCCAAGTTAACTTTCACCAAACATGTCATGCTCACTGAATACGTGCTGTGCAGCAACCAGGTGCCCGTGGACCGCAGCGGAGGCACTGAGATGGACATGTCACAGTACCACAAGATCTTCGGCACCTGCAGGATACCCGGCCTCACCAAGGACTCCTTGTGCTTCCACGGCCAGGATCCCGACCCTCCCCGCCACATTGTGGTGATGCACCAGAACCACGTGAGTGTTGCTCGCCACATTGTGGTGATGCTCCAGAACCACGTGAGTGTTGCTCGCCACATTGTGGTGATGCACCAGAACCACGTGAGTGTTGCTCGCCACATTGTGGTGATGCACCAGAACCACGTGAGTGTTGCCCGCCACATTGTGGTGATGCACCAGAACCACATGAGTTGCTCGCCACATTGTGGTGATGCACCAGAACCACGTGAGTTGCTCGCCACATTGTGGTGATGCACCAGAACCACTCACATTCTTTAGTATTAATTGTCAGTCAGACTATTAATGTTGCCAAGACTTCTTCTATTTAATACAGGCAAATATTTTACATTCAACCTTAACCTTGTTACTCCTGAAACTGCCACGATGTGTCTTCACGCAAAATATGAGGTAAATGTCCATTAAATATGAGGGAAGGCAGGGCAAATAAATGAAATGACTAATACGTAAAACATTGTACGTTTTCCTAATGTTTAACTTATCAGCGCGGAGGCCTCCCACAGTGCAGGTGGACTGTACTGGGACTGGCAAGCGTCTGACATTACGTCACTTCTGAACTAAGTAACGCAATTGCCTTTCTATATTCATGGTCCTCGAGCAGTAAACGTTTATTATTCACCAGATGATTTAATTATGCTGCTAATTTTATGGCCAAATAAATAGAAATTGTTATTTTATTAAACTGTAAAGTGTAAACTAATTAAAGTTCGGACGCCTGGTGATAAAGTTGCGCTAGAGAAAGATAAACGTTTGTTTGTCTTTGATATTTCAATGTGTTCAAGTTTTATTCTGAAGACATGGAAATCATTCTGTCCCTCTCAGTGAACTTGACTACAAGGACTAAGTATTATAGTTCCCGCTTCTATACTCGCACTATACTCGTGCAGCAACACAACATACTATGTACACACAGTTATGTGTGTTGCATAGTTACAACATGCTATGTACTCCTGACATGTGTGTTGCATAGTTCTCGTCTTGCACGTGTACAAAACTAGAGGTCTGTATCAAAGTTTTAATTATTTTACAACAAAACTGAGCGTGCTTTTTAGCTTGTCTTTCCAGTGCAGTTTCGAAGCTTTGGTCTCACGTTTGTTCTCACGGTGAACATTGTTCAGTTCTTCAGACTGGACATTGTACAGTTCTGTCTCACGGTGAACATTGTACAGTTCTGTCTCACGGTGAACATTGTACAGTTCTTCAGACTGGACATTTTACAGTTCTCTCTCACGGTGGACATTGTACAGTTCTTCAGACTGGACATTGTACAGTTCTGTCTCACGGTGAACATTGTACAGTTCTTCAGACTGGACATTGTACAGTTCTTCAGACTGGACATTTTACAGTTCTGTCTCACGGTAAACATTGTACAGTTTTTCAGACTCGACGTGCACGGCAAGAACAACCAGCTCCTGAACGTGTCTCAGCTGCAGGCGCAGCTACAAAGTATCCTCGAACGATCGACGCGCCCCGCGGTGCCCCTGGGGCTTCTCACCACGCAGAACAGGAACGTGTGGGGCCAGGCCTACAAAGCGCTGCTCAAAGGTAAGACCTTCTGCTTGAAAAATTTCCCTGCAAGAAATAAAAATTTTTGTACTCCGATGCTCGTGAAGCGTGCGAATTGTACGCCGTGTTTGAGACATGCGTTAATATTTAGTCTACATTAGTTGGTATGTCGCACATTACTGAATCAGACTCCATGTGGTAGGTAAACCAAAATATCTCATATTAGCAGTGAAATTTCCGTAGAACAGCGCGAAAGTAGTTGTATTTATTATTACAGTGCGTATTTTCAAAGGCTAGGCATTAAGGAATGTGTAGACAGCCTATCTAAAACCCTCAGCTGCCGACCTGGACTTATTTATGGGGTGGGCGGGAACTCATGGAAAGCAAGTGGAAAGTAATGGCTACCTAAAAACCCCCTTGATTCCTTGAAGCACTGCAGTGACAGAAATGTGGTTGTTGTGTCTATGAGATTGAGAAGAGATAGCAACTTGAATCCACGGTGTGCGCCTGGTTGTACAGCATTGTCGTTCTCAAGTGTATCACAGAGTTCATACCTTTCTGATGCTGGTTCATAAGTCCTTGCCTAAATACAATGCTTATCAATATGGCCTCGTGTAAAAAACGCTGCGTATAGTTAAAGCCTTGCCTATACATGCTGGTCTATGATGGGGTTCCTTAGGATTAATAAAATTATTATTGCATCATAAAGTTATTATATTATGAGAATATATTATTTTAATGACCTGGATTACATTATAAAGTTATTATATTATGATGATATTATACGATTGTAATGACCTGAAATTGCAGCGAGTGCTGAGAACGCGGCCAGCCTGCGGGAGGTGCAGCGCTCGCTGTTCTTGGTCTGCCTTGACGCCGTCGTGCAGCCGTCAACTGGCAACGCCATGACAGACGCCGCGCTGCAGTGTCTGCATGGCGGCGGCACCTCTGGCAACTCTGGCAACAGATGGTTCGATAAGACCATCCAGGTGAGCAGTGATGTTGTCCCTACCAACAGATGGTTCGATAAGACCATCCAGGTGAGCAGTGATGTTGTCCCTACCAACAGATGGTTCGATAAGACCATCCAGGTGAGCAGTGATGTTGTCCCTACCAACAGATGGTTCGATAAGACCATCCAGGTGAGCAGTGATGTTGTCCCTAGCAACAGATGGTTCGATAAGACCATCCAGGTGAGCAGTGATGTTGTCCGTAGCAACAGATGGTTCGATAAGACCATCCAGGTGAGCAGTGATGTTGTCTCTAGCAACAGATGGTTGGTTTGATAAGACCATCCAGGTGAGCAGTGATGTTCCCCAGCAACAGATGGTTCAGTCAAATTACTCTAGGGAAGAGACTCATTATTCAATATAGTTATTTATAGGTTCAGTTATATTATTATATTTTATATAATAATATATAACTTAATATAACTGAACCTATATATTATAGGTTCAGTTATATTAAGCAGGCGAGCGATTTTACTGCCAGTTTACTCTCACTGCCACCACAGCCACTGATACTACTGCCTTTTTACTGTAGCTCCTACATTGCAACTGCAACTACTTCCTCTTTACTGTCACCATCATTACTGCCAGTCTGCCTTATGTCCTCAAGTCGCTCCGTGCCACTTCTCCTCAGATTCTCATGTCAAGTGGAAGTTTTTAATAAGAGTATTTCGTTCTTCACTCCAGTTGCAGTTAATGGTCCATCATTTTTCCTACTCATATTTTTGCCTTTTCAATTTGAGCTTCTGGTGCCTTGACTTCTGTGTCGCCGCCTACAGTTCGTGGTGGGGGCCAGCGGGCGCGTGGGGCTCACGTACGAACATTCCCCCGCCGAGGGCCCTCCCATCGCCAACCTCATGGACCACATCGTCGACTACATGTGGGTCTTGTGTGGCGTGTGGGTAATGTGTAGCGTGTAACGTGCGGATCATGTGTGGCGTGTGGTGCATGTGTGTCGTGTAACGTGTAGGGCATGTGTGGCGTGTGGGTCATGAGTGGTGTGTGGTGCATGTGTGGCGTGTGGTGCTGGATGAGCCGTGTGGCGTAAGTTTCTATGTGGCGTGTAGGTGATGTGTGGCGTTTGGGCCATATGGCATGTGGAGTCTCTCTTCTCCGTGGAGCGTGCGAGCCAGCATGAACACACATAAACCAGGTATGGCGCAACTAATCATGATCACATGAAAATTTCCAGCCAGTTGTGACATTCTATACAAGTCCTCGACAGAGCAGGCAATTTTTTTAGGTTCAGTTAGAGATGATTGGGATGTGGAGTTCGAAGTCATGCATAATCCAGCGTTTACAGTTCTCCTTCTTGCATCGCTGCTGACTTAGGGATGAAGACTTGATGCTTAGTCTTGATGCACTCATAGCATGTCACTACTGTCGCATCGGGGCCTAGACAGTGCAAGTGTCGACCATCACCTTCACGACTGTCTGGACAGTGTTCAACAAGTACTGCGCCCAACTCTCACTGTCACGACTGTCTCAACACTATCTAGACAGGGCAAGCGATGAAATCTCACACTGTCTCGCCTGTCTGATCCCTGTCTCGTCGTCTGGACAGGGCCAGTGGGCGCGCCAGCAAGTCCCTGTTGGCCGTGGAGACGTCCCGGCCTCGTCGCCTGCAGTTCACCGTCCCGTCTGATCTCGAGGCACAAATTCACCAAGCGGGTACCGTGCTTGATAGGTGAGTTACTGTTGCCAGGCGGGATACTGTTGACAGGTGGGTTACTGTTGACAGGTGGGTTACTGTTGACAGGCGGGTTGCTGTTGACAGGCGGGATACTGTTGACAGGTGGGTTACTGTTGACAGGTGGGTTACTGTTGACAGGTGGGTTAGTGTTGACAGGTGGGATACTGTTGACAGATGGGTTAGTGTTGACAGGTGGGTTTGTGTTGACAGGCGGGATACTGTTGACGGGTGGGTCATTGTCGACAGATGGATCATTATGTACTTACTAACATTATTATGTGTTATTTATGTATAAATAAAACAAGTTCATAATTTATTATCTAAATACTACCAGAACTCGGTATGTATTTCCACTATATTCGTGTGTCCTTACATTAATATGAATTCAATCTTGTGATCGGTTGCCTGCTTTATTGTAGCGTGATTATGGAGTGAACTTGTGGCGTTGTTTGATGTGACTTTTATTTGACGCTATTCTTTGTCTGGTAATGACTTGATGCATAAATTATTTATTTTGTATGGTTCCTAACAGTTTGGTGGAGGACCTTGAGATGACGTGCTTCGTGTACGACAAGTACGGCAAAACCTTCATGAAGGCGAAGGGCGTGAGTCCCGACAGCTTCATACAGATGGCCATCCAGCTGGCCTTCTACAGGCGAGTCCCATACAGATGGCCTTCCAGCTGGCCTTCTACAGGTGAGTCCCGAAAGCTTCATACAGATGGCCATCCAGCTGGCCTTCTACAGGTGAGTCCCGACAGCTTCATACAGATGGCCATCCAGCTGGCCTTCTACAGGTGAGTCCCGACAGCTTCACACAAATGGCCATCCAGCTGGCCTTCTACAGGTGAGTCCCGACAGCTTCATACAGATGGCCATCCAGCTGGCCTTCTACAGGTAAATCTCAACAGCTGCATACAGACTTGTATGAAGGTAAGTAGGTAAGTCCCACTACAGGTAAGTCCCAACGGCTTCATAAGCCTCCACCTCACTTCCAAGGGGAGTGGGAAGCCCGCCGTTCACTAATCCTCCGCCTCCTCCCCCAGAGTTCACGGGGAGCCCGCCGCCCACTACGAGTCCGCGTCTACGCGGATGTTCGCCGGGGGTCGCACGGAGACCATCAGGAGCTGCTCTGAGGAGAGCGCCGCCTTCTGCGCCGCGGCTCTGGATGCCTCCGCCGCCCCTCGCCACCAGCGGCGCCTCCTGCTGCAGGCCGTCGCTGCCCATAACGCTTACGCCAAGCAGGTGCTGGGGAGTGTAGGGCAGGCAGGTGCTGGGGAGTGTGGGGCAGGCAGGTGCTGGGGAGTGTAGGGCAGGCAGGTGATAGAGTGTAAGGGTACGTACACAGTGAAAGCAGGTTGCCAGCGTGCTGGTTACCTGCTGAGGCTGGCGCCTGAAACAAATGCGAGAGGGTGTTCACAGAGGAAGCAGGAAACCAGCTGGAAGAAACCAGGCCTTTTTCATAATAGAGGAAGAAACCATTCGCAAGACGAAGAAACCAGGTCTTTTTTTGATATGCAGTTAAAGTAAAATTAAACCAATGTTCCCTTACCTTCACAGTTCATCATCTTGGCAATGTCAGCCCAAAGTTTCTCAACTACAATTCGGTTAGATTGCTCTTTACTCCATTTGTCCCAAATAAGTGTTCGAGCATACACCTCTGTGATTAATTGATCACTGCCGATGCTCATCATGTGTTATTACCTCTCAAAAATCCCTCCAATTGGGTGCAAACAAAGAAAATGGAGGGTTTAAAGGCACAACTAATTAAAAAATGACCATATGCCAAGCAGGTTGAGCAGATGAGAATGTGCAGTACATTCCGGTAAATAGGTATAAGCAGGTTGTCGGCAGTGGTGATAGAGTGTAAGGGTACGTACACAGTGAAAGCAGGTTGCCAGCGTGCTGGTTACCTGCTGAGGCTGGCGCCTGAAACAAATGCGAGAGGGTTTTCACAGAGGAAGCAGGAAACCAGCTGGAAGAAACCAGGCCTTTGTCATTAGAGAGGAAGAAACCATTCGCAAGAGGAAGAAACCAGGTCTTTTTTTGATATGCAGTTAAAGTAAGATTAAACCAATGTTCCCTTACCTTCACAGTTCATCTTCTTGGCAATGTCGGCTCAAATTTCTCAACTACAATTCGGTTAGAGTGCTCTTTACTCCATTTGTCCCAAATGGTTGTTCGAGCATACACCTCCGTGATTAATTGATCACTGCCGATGCTCATCATGTGTTATTACCTCTCAAAAATCCCTCCAATTGAGTGCAAACAAAGAAAATGGAGGGTTTAAAAGTACAACTAATTCAAAAATGACCATATGCCAAGCAGGTTGAGCAGATAAGAATGTGCAGTACATTCCGGTAAATAGGTATAAGCAGGTTGTCGGCAGAAGCCTATTCGTACAGGTTTTCACTGTGAACACTTACATTATTATCTTATGTTCATTCTTGTGGCAGGTTGGAGCAGGTTGCCCGCGCGGGCAAACCTGCTTTCACTGTGTACGTACCCTAAGATATGAACCGGTGATAAGTTAACCGATGCTGAAAACTAATTTTAGTACCGGTAAAAGATATATTTATGTGTGAATATTTCCTTCCAGTAAACATTAGGACTAGACCGAGAGTGCAATAGTAGCATTTTTGCATTGAATTGACCAAACAATTATGAGCAATTAACTGTAACTGAATTAGCTAGAACTGAATTAACTGTACCTGAGTAATGTAGAACTGAATTAAAAGTAAAGTTATTGAGTGTTGAATGGCCGTCTTGTTGCAGGCCGTTAAAGGGGAGGGGGTGGACCGCCACCTGCTGGGGCTGAAGCTTGCGGCCATCGAGCTCGGCATGGACGTGCCGGCCATCTTCATGGACGTGGCTTATGCGCGATCTGCACACATGCGCCTCTCCACCAGCCAGGTGAGTGCCTCTCCACCAGCCAGGTGCGTGCCTCTCCACCAGCCAGGTGCGTACCCTACCATTAGAGCCTAGCAATGTTCCTATGAAGTTTAGTGAAACTGCTCGACTGAAGCAGTTGTAGGTAACCTCAAAAATTGCCTAATGATGTCCAAAAGAAGTGAATAAAATCTAATTCAATTAGAACAATCAAATTATGATAAAGAATGCCTCCATTGATCTTAGTGACTATACTCCTTTGAGCGGAGAAGATCATGTGCTGCTGGTAATTAATAAAAATGTAGATACTTTGAATGAAACTTCTGTAGTAATAAATTTTATTTTGATTTTAAATGTCACCTTCTATGCAGCATTATTAGCAACCGTTCCGCGACTTCGAAAGTAGATTTCTTTCTACGCGAGAGCCGCTTGTAATTAGGCCAAAATCATGGACAATAAATTGAATAAAGCATAAGGTAAATGGCATTAGTTCTTATGCGAAATAATTTGGGGTTTGCTTTACCATCACATGCATCTTTACAGGTCCCTGCTCGTTGCGAGGCCTTCATGTGCTACGGGCCGCTGGTGCCTGATGGCTACGGCTGCTGCTACAACCCACGCAGCGCCTCCATCGTCTTCGGCGTGTCAGCCCTCAACTCCTCCCCCGAGACACACTCCAGCACCTTCAGAGACGCTCTCGAGGCCTCCCTCACCCAGATGAGGGAGCTCCTCGAACTTCCCGACGATGCCGCATAAAACATATTCACTTTTGTCACATTGGGTCTTGAGGGAATGGCGGTGCTTGGTGCTGGTAATATAGAGGTGATGGATACGAGAAATCTTGAGTCATCGAATTTCGGTTCGTGGTCGTTAGGACGGCAGGGGCCGACACGATATTAGTCCATTTGCCTTTGTTTAGGCGAGAATTTAGTATAAATAAAGGACATAAATCCTTGCAATGCATGACTTTGTATGCTTTCGGAAAGAAGGGCTAATTATTGTTAGAAATCTGTAGGTAAGAATCATATTATTGTATGCCTTAATATTCTTGTTTGCTTTTTATAGTGGAAGAAAAGTGCTTCCGTTAACTTTTTACGCACTCGAAATATTCTTAAGCGTTTTGGAAAATAAGTGGATATATTTTATAATAATGTTGTACGGTGCATGGAGGTTTGGAAGCGCAGCATTTCCTGCAGAGGCAGTACGAGGGAAGTTGTCTCCCCTCAAGACGGTACTGGGCCTCGTGAGTGACACTCAAAGTTTTTATCTATCTTTCTCATGCCGTACCTTGGTGACGTGCTCGTGCTCACGTATCTTGGTGACGTGTTCGTACTCACGTATCTAGGTGACGTGTTCGTGCTCACGTATCTTGGTGACTTGTTCGTGCTCACGTATCTTGGTGACGTGCTCACTGCTCATGCTCACGTATCTTAGTAAAGCAATCTATGTGCACGGTCAGGTCCATAATGGTTGAACTATATAAGGTTGACCCACAAAGATTTCCGTCTTTCAGTTCAGCTTTCTTGTTACGTCACGTAGATCGAGAAACGTAAACAAACCCGTCATTCCCATGACGGATTGGTTGACTGGTTTGAGCGCATTTCGGTGATTGGTTAATGCCCGTGACGTCACTGAGATCAGTGACGTCATAGACGAACAACGAACTACATCCTCAAAAATGGGCTTCTAATGGGTCAACCTTATACTAGTTCAACCATGAGGTCCATCCCATACAATGCAAGGAATGTCACAGGTTCCAACAATGTGCGAGCGAAGACTACTTCCCTGGCCCCCGTCATGCGCCGCGCGGAGGCTGCCAAGGCAAGCAATATTCTCGCCGCAATTCATGTGAATTTTCTAAGGTTGTTTTTCTTTCAGTATTTCAGATTCCTTGTTGTCTGCTCGAACATCTTATTATTACCTATATATTTCGTTAATTCTATAAAAGTTATACTAGTATTATTTGTTGGGTTGTTTCTTCTTGACAGGAAGTTCTGCGTTATTCTCTGTATTGAAAGTATTATCACCTAATAATTCAGTATCATTTATCATTAGTTTTCTGTTGGGACTTAATATATATTATAAAAGCATTCGGGCTAAAGGCTCACTTTCTTGATTGCTGTTGAAATAATGCATTTAGAACCCTGTTGTATATTCGTCATTGAAGCTCTTGGCTTGAAATCCCTACAGGCTGAGATCCTCAGCCGTGTTCTTAGCTCATTACAATTGAGACTTGATTTAAAAATTATTTTTCCGTGTCTGTTGGAGCGGTGAAGACTAAGCGCTACAGTCGCATGTCGCTGGTCTGATTTATGCCCATCAATTTTTGTGCTTCATTGTCTCTGTCCTTCCGCATTTCTGTCAACTTATTAGCCAGCGTTCAGGACTAAACTCTCGGACGAGGAACGTTGACGGGACGATCTACCGTAGAATTGCGTCAAGGCTTCATGTTCCCATCCTCTCAAGTCATACCGGTAAAAACGATGGTGTCCTGAAGCAAAAACAGAAAATACGTAAGTAAAAATATCGTTATCACCACAATTTGCCTTCATAGTGGCGTAACATTGAAGATTAGGCCATATTGGCCTGTCGCCTGTTCATAAAACGCGGAATTTCCGCATCTTGCTGCGGGTTTCGAACTCGTACGCTACCGTTGCTGAGTTATGATAATGACTGAATGAGTTGAGACAATTCATTATAGTTGGGAAACATTCGAAAATTTCCTTCTGCATATTCAATATTTCGATTTATAGGTGGTCGAGCTTATGATTACAGCCAAGCTTTTAATTAGGTACGATTTAGATTGTAATTTTAACGCCATCTCTAATATTATTTACAAATTTTTGAAGGATTCTAAACCGCTTTCTCTCTCGTCTTCCGATAATTTAGCCGCCGATGACGCATTATTAGCTGCATCAGTTTTTGTGAACATATTCTCATTTGTCTTTAGTTATTTAAATCGTAAGTTATAGACGTGAAACTGTTATTTAATTCATTAAAGAAACTTATGAAGCAAGCAGAAAGGGAGACAAGTTGCTTGCCATTAACGCGAATCACATTCATCAAATTGATGTCGCGGTGCAATGTAATGTCCCAACGGTTGGGAATAAAGGCTTATATAACTATTTGCTCAAGCAATTCTCTAGATCTTTCTGTGCATGAAATTCTTGTCAAAAAATTTGGTAATTTTTGCTGCGAGTATTTCGTCTTACTGCGATTTTGGAGATTGATAAAACGAATCTTGATTTAAAGTTTGTATGCAGTGGTTTGTTGATCAATATTTTTTTTTAAGTAGCATCTTGTTCTGTTCTTAGGGGTCGATACCGTTTTTTTAGGGGTCAATACCTTTATATTGAATTAAAATTTGCATCTTTTAGCCTGCCGTATAATGAATTTCATCACAATCAAAAAATATTGAAAGAATAATCAACATTTTTTCAGGGTTTTTTTATCAAGATTATTCTGGCACGCGCTTCCAAGGGCACGGTTGTTCGAGATGAATCGAATTAATCTACCTCTTTTTTTTCTTCTTATTTGGGAAAAATGTAACACGATTTTTGCTTAGTCATAATGACAGCGATGTGATGTGCCCTGTGCAGGATACTCCATCAAAGTTTTAACATTTAATATCGTAGCGTACGTTCTTACGTGGACCTCTGCTTTCGTTGCACTATCACCATCTGCATTAATTTCACCGATTATTATTACTTCCAGGTAACCGTAATATACTGGATTCTCTTTTGCATGTATAATTTTGGCTCAGCAGTGGCCAAATGATCTTAACAAATAACTCGGTAAGTAAGTTTTAAGTTGGATTTTTTTCAAAATGTTTTACTCCACTAAGTTCGCGAAGACCAAGAGAAACAATTCTTTCATGCGCAAACTTCAAATTAAAATATGATTTATTTTATAAGAAATTCAATACACGAGACGGTCTTTGAGTTTTGGGTTAGCAAGTCTAGCAAAAACGATATTCCAGATAAGCAGTCGTGTCCTCCGAGACCCAAGGACGTTATGATCTTCGAGATTAACTGGTGCTATTTTCTCCTTGTTTATGACTTGCCATGTCTCGTATGATTAAACATTATTCTTCTCATTTTGTGTCCATTAAACTTTCACAGTGATCAATTTTGTCTTGCGTTTTATTCAAATTGTGGAGAGGAGGGTGAGATGAATCCTTCATTTTCACTGCGTACTGAAAGTACCCAGTTTGCTGTACAGTGTGAAATGTTTTGGGCGAAGTGAGCACATGGCTTCAGCCCTACGTTTGAGGCCCTCGGTTGTTTCTTTGGGCAAAAATATCCGATCCGATAAAGAAGAAACAACTCATGTAGTCAAATTCGTTTATTACAACCAGTTTTTATGCATTACACGGGGTTTCACTATGATATTAAATAAGATATGTATCATGGGACTTGTGTTCTTGGTTTTTCTGGAGGCAGGGTCCCTACCACTCCCACTTCTGCAGGCCGGATATCTCGCACTCACCCATTCTCTGTAGGCAGGATCCTTCGCACTAACCATCCTTTTGCAGGCAGGATCCCTCGCACTCCCCACCCTTTGCATTTAGGAGTTATCCAGGAGGTGGAAGTGTTCCGGCATCACCAGTGCGGGTAGCCGACATCTCGTTCTTACACTGTACAGGTCTCTTCTTCGTTCTTCGCAATCACCGTTGCTTTCTCCAAGGCGACTGGGGCCTTGGGTTAGCTCTGTATTCGAGGCGTAGCACCCCGGTTAGTGGTTAATTTTTGTCCCATTGAAACAAAAAATCGCGTTTTGGTTACGGTGCACTACGATTTTATTTAAGATTATTTTACTAGCACGTATCACAGGCGGCAAGAACATTTGCCCATCTTCTCCCAAGGCTATTGAAATCAGAATTATAACTTCGTTTCCATGATGAGTTGAATGGAAGACGGAAGAGTCTGAAGAGAAACAGCAGGTTGGTGCCTGCCCATTTCGCAATTCTATTAATCGGAAAATCTTCATACCTGTAGTGACAGTCATAACACGACTACAAGATTCCAAAAGGTCAAATTCTAGAAAAATAGCAAATTTTCGTCTGATGGAAGTGACGGGATGAATGAAAGTCAAATTACTTGAGCAGTTGTTTTATTACAGAACTGTGGCCTACGCCTGGCAAGGTGTTTACTACTAAGAGAAAGTGATGCCGATCACAATTCATTCAATGACCGCAATCTGTCGTTGTCCACAAGTTTTTTGTTCACAAGCCGTAGTCCACTAGTCTCCTGATGATCAAAGACCTTGTTTTTATGTCACACGTTGAAAAAAAGCAAAAAAGACTGTAGTGGCTGCGGCAATTGCGACATAACAATGGTCGAGTAAGCGGTTGCCTCATTACGATGTGATGATAACGGTCGAGTTTGTGGTATGTTGTCGCTACAGCGTCCTATAATAAGAAGCTTCACTGTGAGCAACGCGCATGTGATTCTCCAGTCATTATTTCTTAAAGATAACCTGGCGAATAAAACCTCTACAAAATATATACAAATAAAATAAGCCAGGATTCGTCGAACATTTTCTCCATATACAAAAAAAATCTACAGTTTATTGTGTGCACCGCTCCTACCGAGTGCTCCATGCGCCGCTCCTACCGAGTGCTCCATGCGCCGCTCCTACCGTGTGCTCCGTGCGATGCTCCTACCGCGTGCTCCGTGCGCCGCTCCATGCGCCGCTCCTACCGAGTGCTCCATGCGCCGCTCCTACCGAGTGCTCCATGCGCCGCTCCTACCGTGTGCTCCGTGCGCCGCTCCTACCGAGTGCTCCATGTGCCGCTTCTACCGCGTGCTCCATGCGCCGCTCCTACCGAGTGCTCCATGCGCCGCTCCTACCGAGTGCTCCATGCGCCGCTCCTACCGCGTGCTCCATGCGCCGCTCCATTTTCGTGTGTGCGGACAAGGCTCTTACATTTCTATCCATAACCTCCAGGATTTATTTTCTTGCGATCCTCTAAAGCTTTTGCCCCATGAAAAACCCAACCCGTTTCGCCAGCAAAAGCAATCGACGTGTCAGCTGCTGTGGGGCTTTGTACGTACATACATATACCAACGTACAAAGATGCTTATTCATAGATGTAATTATAAAAATCTATAGGCGCATAAAAAATGAGGTAGTGCAATAATTACAGTGCACCATGGCTATACTTAGGAAGGCATTATTGCGAGTCAGGCGGTTGTTTTCCATAGCATCACAGCGCGAAGCACGAGTTTTGAGGCACGGCTACGGTAAATTTCGCTGCCCTGGACCTGGAAGGACGGTCTACACTCTACACTGCATAGCATGCAGTTAAACCGTACACTGTATGGTGTGTCATACATCATCTGCACTGACACAAATACTCTGCGTGCTGCAACGCGTATCGGATTTTGTTTCGATTATATCACTTCGTTTGAATTTTGGTGCGCATAAAGCACGCATGTATAAAGCACCTAGGCACGCATGTTTCGACATGTATTAAATTTCGAAAGGGAGCAACGTGTTAGTTGCGGTCAACTTTTATTCATCGTGGGTTCAAACGTGGAAAAAAGTTCAGGTGGCAAGATTCGCCCAAGATTCAATACGTTTGAATGGCTATAGTGAGACATGTTTCAAAGTAATTATCTCTTTTTATCAACTCCCTCAAATTCAATTGAATTCTTTCCTAATAAATAATTTCCTGTAGTCGTAGAAGGTATGGTGTTGGCTATGCAGTAGTAATTTGAGTAGCGTCACTCGAGTTGATGCCCTAAAGCTAAATGCATTATTCACAGAATTCGTCGGCTAGCAGTAAGGCACAAATTCCGTCATTGGACATCAGAGAAAAGAGGCCTACGGCTACCTTTGTATCCCTGAAGTTCTCGGTGAGGCTCTTTGTGCGTGGGCTACCACGACACTAAACCACAGCTCATTCAAGATAACGCCTTCAAGACATGACACCTGTTGATAACACTGGTGATACCATTAACTAATGATAACACTGTTTGATGATACCACTGACTGATGATAACACTGTTTGGTGATACCACTAACTGATGATAACTCTGTTTGGTGATACCACTAACTGATGATAACACTGTTTGGTGATACCACTAACTGATGATAACACTGTTTGGTGATACCACTAACTGATGATAACTCTGTTTGGTGATACCACTAACTGATGANCAGCTGCCACGCTACACCAGCTGCCACGCCACACCAGCTGCCACGCCACACCAACTGCCACTCTCACCTTGCGGGGCACGGAGAGGCGGTGCGCGAGGGAGCCCCGAGGGTCGCCGGTGCGTCGGTGCAGTGAGGGGTCGCGGTACAGGCGACACCCGCTGCCCTCGCCCGACCCTCGTGAGTGTCGCCGCTCGTCCGCCTCGCCACTCGCGATGTCGAGGGTGGCGAGTGTCTCCTCCTTAGGCCACTCGCGAGCAGGGGGAGGGGGAGTGAGGGGAGGGGAGGGTTCCTCAGAAGGTCCTTCGCTGCGCATCTTCTCGAATGTCGCCGTGATCGCCTTCAAGAAGTCGCTTCCTGCCGCCACAAAATAAGGCTCAGTTGAGCGGTAAATATATGCTTATGTTCACTATAAACTTACTTTATATTGAATTATTTATACCTTCATTATAAATAACCCTTGAATCTCGACTCGGGAAAACATTCTCATCAGTAGTCCAGCCTCACAATAGTGACCAGACAATGTGCAGTTCAACTGTCTTCTAGACCATGAACCTTTGCATTTTCATATACAATATTAGTTTACTGGTGACATAGTCCAATTCGAGGAAAGCCTTGGACCCAAACATAAAAAAAACGTATGAACACTTTCTGTACGCGTAACCCTTGTTAGGAGGTTACTGGTATGAACGCTTTATGCATGCGAAAATCTTGCTAGGAGGTTACTTGCGAGAACGCTTTATGCACGCGTAATACTGGTTAGAAGGTTATTTATATGAACACTTTATGCATGCGTAACACTTGCTGGAACTGTTGTACACTTTACACGCGCGTAAAAGTAGTAGGAACACGGCGGGACTCTGCACCTTGGAGGGCAGAGGGAGCGCGCTCCTCAGAGCGAAGGAGGAGTAGGACGGCCATCAGACGTCTGCCCTTTATCAGCGTGGATGAAACGCTCTCGACCAGAGGAAATGAATGGCTACGGCAAACTTGGACGTGTATGCGGGAGGACTGAATGTGATTATCAGTATTGGGGAGCATAGAGGAGATAGGAGCAGGTCGCGGCATCAGACGTGGCGAGTGGGAGCACGGCAGCCATCAGACGTGGCGTGTCGGGGTCGTACAGCAGCTAGCGGACGTAAGGGCGGTCATCAGACGCGGGCGGCGGACGGTATTCTCAAGATGAGGCGGCGGGCGGCTGCCCGTACGGACCTGCGGTCGTCAGCTGAGATGAGAGACGCTGATGTCAGCAGCGTGAATCCAGCAGGGCGACAACAGTTGACACAAGCAGCACATCAGCTGTCACTTGCAGCAATACATGTAGCTATACTCATCCGAGCGGGATAATGCCATCACCGCGTGAACGGCATTCAATTATTAGCAGCCGAAGTTTGCTTGGTTTATAAAAAAAAAACGGTCTGTGCAAACGTCCTATCGATAATATCTTGTTTCCAAACGACAAAAGCTGACTATCTCTGGCTCTCTGCCCACCGCAAATGGTTGTCACACTATCTGCTCTACGTCATACTCAAACCCATCCATTTGAGTCGACACCACCTTAAAGTCACAGGTGCCTCTCACAATAATTAATAGTGCCAGTGACGTAAATGATGATTGAAGTCACCAAGTCCTCTCACAATAATCCAAGTTCCAGTGCATCTCACAAAATTTTGAGTTGCCAATGGCATCGACAGAAATTTACGTCGTTAATACATATCATAATAATTATGGTCGCCAGTAATCCGAAAGATGTTTCGAGAAAACCATACGGAATAGTATCTTTTAAGCAGCAAAAAATGGTTGGGTCGTTTGTACCTTTAACCATTAGTATTGATAAGTACATATATGTACAATCTATATACAATTATCTGTAACTAACTATGAATTTTTGACCTGCAAACTTGAAGTTAGGGTCATTAATTGCGAGAGATTTCATTTACCACCATCGAGTTTTTAATTCCATAACCCAGCACCAAGGCCACGAACGCTTCAGTTGTGCGGCATTATTGGATAATTTAGCTTGCAGTCGTAAGATAAATGAAGATGAATTATAATCACTTGCAGAAGTTACGAATAGGTTGGAAGTGAATGAAATGTGGTAGAAACTTACCGTCGTCGGCGAGCTGCCGTGAGCCGTCATCTGCAGACGTCACCTGACTCCTGCCGCCCTCCTGCACACGCGAGCTGACGTTAGTGGGTTACTGCTACACCAATACTACAAACCCATAGTAAAATACCACTACTACAACTAAGTTCTGCAGAACCTCCACTACTGTAAGTGTAAACCTGCGTTAATGTAGGACAGCCTAGCTTGAACACCTCGTTTCTTCAAGACAGTAATACTGCAACACTGTTGCTGCAAGAGAAACCTAGTGCTGCAAGTAACACAGAACGGCGAGCAACTCAAACCACAACACTTCGACCACTCACCACACGACACTCCCTCCTCAACCACTCACCACGTAACACTCTCCTGCAACCCCTCGCGTCCAAACGACGCTAGCCCTTAACCACTCAACACGATATTCCCCTTCAACCACTCATCAAATAACACTCCCCTTCAACCACTCACCAAATAACACTCCCCTTCAACCACTCACCAAATGACACTCGCGCCCTAGAGCCCTCGCGAGGTCAGGCTGAGAAGGAAAGTCGCAGCTCGAAAAGTGAAGTAGTGAAGTGCAGGGTGTGTGAACGTGTGAAGAAGCTGTGAAGTGCAAATCAGAAGAGCACGCATCAGCGAGGGGATGCGCGAGGACGCAAGGGGAATCGGTGCCCAACCCCTCAAGCGAAGGACGTCTCCCCAAGGGTGGAGAAGTCGGAACAGGAAGAAGGGCGAGCTTGTCACAGGGGCTGACGACCGTGAGTCCGCATGACTCTACAAGATCTTCGGGTGCACTTGAGGGAGCTTGTGTCTTTATGCTTTCTGACGAAGTGGAGGGACTATTGGATGATCTAGGGACACTTTTGGGAGAGATCAAGATGCTTCTTGGCGAGCTGGGAATCCTGTTGGGTGAACTGGGCATACTCTTGGACGAAATAGGGATCCTTGTGGATGAATTGGTGATACTTTTGAAGGTGTTAGAGAATTCACGAGGTAATCTGCTGGCAGTCTGGGGCGATGGAACCTGCTGGTAGCCACCTGAGATGGGCGACAGGGAGGGAGTTGATCTGTAAGAGAGCAGGGCGACGTTGGCGCAGGCGTCACTGGACAGAGAGTTGTTTAGGAACTCAGTGAAGCGTTTGTTGGGTGACAATTTTTTCTCCTTGACAGAGGAAGAAAGGGAAGAGCTGTCACGAATGCGAGGCTTTGAGAGCTCACGATGCAAGGAAGGGTCAGAAATATACGGGGTCTTGAGAGTAGCTGCTAAACAAGAGTCGGAATTATAGTTTTTTTTAATCTTATCAAATATGAACGCGTCGGAAACGCCAGGCTTCTTCAGTTCGTCGTAGAGAGCGGCATCAGACACGCAGAGTTGAGCTGGCAAGAGGCTGGCCACAACGGAGTGCCAGGGTAGCGCCCTCGGAACTGTGGGTCGCGTTGCCCAAACGGATGATGCACGAAGGCTGCCTGAAGAGGGCGCGTAAGGCGACGCAGCAAATGGTGGTGCTCCTGCTAGAGGCACTGCAGATATTGGGATTTCGAATGAGATAACAGAAGGCTGTGATGTTTCAAATGGGGGTGCGTCAGACTGTGACATTACGGACATTGCCGTCGGCAGAGCTTGAGACTGTGACATTGCAGATGTTGCAGTTGGCGGGGCTTCAGACTGTGACATTGCAGATGTTGCAGTTGATGATTCTTTACACGTCAGTGACAAAGCTGACGAGATTTTATCATAGTTCTGAAGCATGGGCAAACCGCGATTCGGAGATTCACGCGATACCGAGTCTAAACCATCTCTGACTGATTCATCAGTCAGTTCGGTGTAGTCTTGGCTGACTGGTTCATCAGTCCGTTCAGTACAGTGCTCGCTGACTGATCCATCAGTACCTTCAGTGAAGTAATCGACTGATTCATCAGTCAGTTCGGTGTAGTCTTGGCTGACTGGTCCATCAGTCCGTTCAATACAGTGCTCGCTGACTGATCCATCAGTCCGTTCAGTGCAGTCCTTGCTGACTGATCCATCAGTCCCTTTAGTACAGTCCTCGCTGACTGATCCATCAGTCCGTTCNTTCATCAGTCCGTTCGGTGTAGTCTTGGCTGACTTGTCCATCAGTACGTTCAGTGAAGTAATCGACTGATTCATCAGTCCGTTCGGTGTAGTCTTGGCTGACTGGTCCATCAGTCTGTTTAGTGCAGTGCTCGCCGACTGATGCACTAGTCCGTTCAGTGCAGTGCTTGCTGACTGGCCCATCAGTCCATTTAGTACAGTGCTCGCCGACTGATCTATCAGTCTGTTCAGTGCAGTCCTCGAGCTTAAGCGTTCTAGTCGACATTCCAACAGCGGGGTCAAGAGGCAAGCAACTGTACAAAGTAGAACCTTGTCGCATGCTTCCGCTGCTTAATGTTGAGTAAAAGTTAGCAGTGCCAGCAACACCATTGATAGGTTGAGCGTGGAACGGTTCAGTGAAAGGTATCTCAGTTGTTGACATTCTACAAGATGAATGTGTATGGAAAAATTGGCGATATTTGAAGGCACGCGTTTTTTGAGCACCAGGATCAGAATGCCGTCTCACAAGGACATTGGAATGAGGAAGAAGCGAGCAGGAAGAGACGAGTGAATGGCGCCGTGGAAGATAAGTTATTGGGTAAGTAGTGCAAGGAGGACGGCTTACCGCCGAGCTGGAGGCTTCAGTGGTTAGAGGAGAATTGGTGGTTAGGGGAAGAATTGTGGTTGAAAAAGAATTGGTAGTTGGATTAGTATAATTTGTTTTAGAGGAATTGGTACTTAAAATAACATTTGTGGTTCGTAAAGAATTAGTGGTTGAAGATAAATAGGAGGAGGTATTGGAAAAATCTGCGTTTGGGGAAGAATTAGTGGTTATGTCACCAATGCAGTTCAGTGAAATATTGACATTTATTGAAGAATTTGTGCCCAAGGAAGGCGTGAACAATGGGGTATGAGGAGTAGGGGTTGAATAGAACGTACGAGTAGAGGGGTGACCAACTGCAAGCGCTGGACACAAAAGTGTTTCGATAACATTTGCTACCTTGGGTGTCACAGACTTAGAATGAGAAGAAACGCATGCAACTTGTGATTTATGACAAGCAGGTATTGGCCCGGTACTTGAGACAGAGGAGACAGAGGCAGACTGAGAACCTGTTGTATACGGCGACAGAGAAACATTAAGGAGATTTGAGTGAGAGCCCCGTATGGAACGAGATAGGAAAGAAATAGGACCAGTAATGCTACCATTGTATCCCTGCCGAAGTAAAGCTTTCGCCGTTAGAGTGTTCCTGTAGATTCCCTCGTTAGTATTTTGTTCCCATTGCCCATTTACCTGAGAGGGTAAAACGTTAGTGAGGGCAGAAGGGGCGCAAGCAAAGGGCAAGCTAGTCAGGGAGACTTCGTCATCTTCGTCCGCAGCATCGCCGGACGTCACACAGGGTGAGGGTAAACTGAGGGCTTCGTTGCTTCTGGTCTCGGAGTGCCCGAACAACTGAAGCACCTCTGCACAGTAGGGTTATTGTTTGTTAATTTATCATATATTTCTGGAAAAGAACTAAAATGAAGGTAACTTTAAATTTTTATTACAATATTGTGTGATTGCATTATCGGAAAAAATACTGAAGTTACAAAATTATTGATCAATTATCGATTATAGATGCTCACCTGATGGATTATCGGCTATGAGATCTAAAGGATCCACTTCTTCTAAATCCTTTTTTGCCTTCAACCAGGCGGCATCGATGGATTGTTTGTCAAAGTCTAGCCGGACGCTAGTCCGTCTTCTGGGAGGAGGTAGCGGCCCTCCGGAGGATAGAGGACGAGAAGAGAGGGGTCCTGCAATGTTAAGGATACCTTGGGAGGAAAGGGACCCTTCGGAGGTACGAGGCTCTGCAGAGGAGAAAGGCCCACTAGAGGAAAGGAGTCCTGACGAGGAGAGAGGTCCCGAGGAGGAGTGGAGCACTACTGGGATCTGCCGGTCGAGGTTGGCTTTCGTTTCGTCGACGAAGCGCTTGATGCGCTGCTTGGTGCGGCTGTGGTCGCGGTATGACGGCGTGGCGCCGGTGGGCCGAAGAGTTGCGTCTCTGTAGCTATCATGGTTCAGACTTGACGGTAAACTCGTCCGTGCAACGTCGTAGATGGATTCTCTGGCCACGTCTACTGATAACCGCCCGTCGTGCCGTCTGTAGACGTCAGAGGAGATAGAGGAGTCACCGACGTGTGTGGCGACGTCAGAGTTCATGGTGACGTCCGAACATGACGAACGTTCGGACGGAGACATTGCCGAGAGTCTTAAAGTGTTATCTGTATCCTGTCTAGACACTTCAGCAATACTGGACGTATCAGAGTGGTTAATTAAAGAGTTGTTAAGAGGAACGTTTCTTTCATCATTATCATGGGATACTTCAGAAGCCGCATGGGTCTCCGAATCATTGGCAGACCCACTGGATATTCTGGGGTTGTTTTCTACAGAAGAGTATTGGGGGACCTCGCCCCCGTCACGTGACCGCTCCAGGTCCCTGCTTCCCCACTCCCCAAGGATTTCCTCGCTCCTGCGACGATTGCGAGACTTATGAACTTTTCTGCTAGCCGCCGAAATTATTGATGACACGAGCACCTTCTTGCTCTCCGACTTGCCCAGACCTGCTGAAACCGTTCGGTGTAAATTATAGGAAATATAAATCATGATCGCAGTTAAGTTAAAATGGCAAACCTGGACTGACGTGGTGAGTAGCAAGAGGGCAACGTGACATAGCGGGTAGCAAGAGGAGGAAGTAGAAAAGTGAGAAAGTGGTTGCGCGCAGCTTGGGAGGCTATGGTTAGCATGGAGGGGGGGGGGAGTGGCAGAATCACCATGAAGGCTTTTTAGGCGACAGGATATTGTGGGAAGCGGGCTGAAGCTTTTGTAGGGACTATAGAACGCGGAGCAATTGTGGGAAGCAAAAAAAAAAAATCGGTTACGATAGACAAAGGGAGGTTGTGAAAGCAAAAGCTGTTTTGAGAAGCAAGGGGGGCCGTGAGGAGCAAAAGGCGGCAATGAAAAGCAAGCGGAAGTTTTGAGAAGCAAGAGGAGGTTTAGAGAAGCAAGCGGAAATTTGAGAAGCGAATGGAAGTTTTGAGAAGCAAGGAAAACGTAATGAGAAGCAGGAGCAAGGAAATGGACGCTGATGGGGTTGTAGAAAGGAAAAGTTTAGGTGAAGCTACAAAAAGGAAAGTGAGCAGTGAAGGAAAGCTGCGTTGAACAAAGAACTGGTGGGAAGCAAAGATGCGATGGTGGGAAGAGGGGAGGTTGCGAGAAGTGCGGGAGACTGTGAAGAGGGGAGGGGAGCTGGTAATGGGTTGGAAAAATTATGGTTGAGGAACAGGAGAAGCTGTGGGAACGATGGAGGCTGTGGAGACGAGACAGGATGTGGGTTGGAGGAAGGAGCAAAGTAACTCACCCGAAAGTTTAGCAGCGTTGTCGAGCAAAGCCTGCACTTGGGGAGGCTGGGGCTCGTAGTCACCAAGAGGAGCACCTGTGACGGGGGTTGGTGGGACTTGGTCCTCTTCAGCATCACTGAAGAACCAGCCCGCCTGCAGGGATCATTAAATGATTACGACGATCGTTATATTATTACGCTGCTATTACTTACGCAGAATAGTGCTCAAGAAAATATTGCCTTAGTTTCACGGCACGAGAAAGGATGAGAACGGATGAAAATGACTAAACACCAGATTCATAAGCTCTACGAAATAGTTCAGTCTTTAGGCGTTGACGAAACACCTGCAACGAAGAAGCCAAAGTTATGGAAGCCGACAGACGGAAGCCGACAGCCGACGACCGGGAACGCTGTGTCACCGACGGTAGATAGACGTGTAGAGAGTCAACGAGGTCCGCTGTTGATGACGAACACAGTAGTCTTCTAGAGGGCAGACACAGATCCGACACGCGCTGCAGACCTTCCGTGAGATCGGGAGGCGCAAGACCGTGAAAGCATCGGGACTTCAGAACGGCGACCTTGAACTGCGTGCTCTCCTGCATGCGCAGCCAGTGAAGATAACGCAATATCCTCGTCACGTGGTCGAATTTTCGCTCATTGCACACGAGTCATGCCGAAGCGTTCATTACGGTATTGCAGTTTACTTAGTGCCCTCGTCGGAAGTTCATAGAGTGTGCTAATACCATAGTCAAATCGGGTCAGAACGAGCGCCACCAAGAAGGCCTCGAGAGACAGCGGCTGTCGCTTGCTTATTCGTTCCAGAGCGCCAAATCAAGCTGTGGTTATTTTTTTGGCAATGAGATTGTTTATAGAAAGTTCCGAAGACACAGGAATGACGAACTCGTTGCCCACGCGAACAGGGTTGGCCGGAAGCTATCGCCTAGCAGTCGCGAAACAAATGAAGTTGGTTTTTGCTGCATTGAGCTGGAGCCGGTTAGAGCGCACCCAGTCTGAAACGGCGTCCATGCAGACCGACATCCGGATCTGCAGCGCTGCAGCGTCAGTCGGTGCACAGTACTGTAGACTCCTGCGTCTCGAAATAATTTTCTCGAAATGAACCGAGACAGACGTAACGAGACGAGAAAATTCCGGGAAAAAAATAACGGGACAGAGGGTAAAATTTGTCCCGGAATAAACGTATGAACCGAGACAAGACTTCTGTCCCGGATTTTAAAACTTGTGTCCCGGTTATTTATGAACCGGGACGAGACAGACAGATTTGAAACGAGACATACCGAGACGAGACGAGATTTGTCTTAATTATTAAGGATAAATCAAGTTTTTCGATTACGATACGAATTGTTTCGAAAACATGGGTTGAAGAATGACAAGTTAGCCATTTATTGCTAATAGGGCCATAGACAGTTACCAGTTAAATTTAGTTAATTACAGATTTAGCAAAATTTGTCTGACTAACTGACATGGCAGTTAGTTAGTGGTCCGACAAACACCGCAAAACTGTCGATGTATGGCTGAGTATTGAGTAAAAAATGTTACCCTTAGTCTTAACTAAGGCTTCCAAGGCACTTTATGTGAACCGTACGAGTACGAGTCGAGTTCATTACGTGTTCGGAACGAGTTCAGGCGCCACGGAGCGCATTGGGACGCAGGGTCTAGATTAGTCAGCCAATTAGTAGACAGTGGAGTGGAGTCCTGGTAAGATATTCCTAATAATACTAAGGCTAGTTTTAGATTATCTCTGCCTTTAATAAAATTTTGTGCTACGCCTCCAGGAAATCATCACAATTGCGCAGTTTCCTGAATTGTTATTAAACGCTTGTTTAAGGGGTGCTCGTCTTGAGTCAGCTCAAAGCCAAATACAGCGAACACCAAAACGAATACTTACAATATACCGTAGTCCTCAGAGTGAGTTGAAAGAGTGAGTAGAAACCGGCCTGGCGACCGCTTTTGAGTAACTTAGCAGGAGCTGAGTATGAGGAACCATTAATTTTAATGAAAAAAAATAATTATAAACAGCGCACAGATGCAGGAAATGTTATGCACAGGTCATGACAGCTATGATGCTGTAAAGGGAGAAGAGCAAACAGCGGCCAGCTGCAAAAAATCCGCGCAGCAAGAGCACAGTCAGAAAGCAACCACTACACCGTCAGAGAGTAGCCACTGCACCGTCATTTGCACGAGTGTAACAACCCTGAACTGGAGACTAAATAACGCCATGAACTGCAAACTATGCAACCCTGATGTGCAGTGTTGATAATCCTGGATTGCAATGAACATTTGACCCAGAATGCAACCCAGTCAACCTCGAGGTGCCGCCACTTGTGTCCTTGAATTGTAGCCCCAAGCATATTTGAAATGCAACCCCGGACTACAACCCCATATATCCCTTAACTGTACATATATACCGTATATATACCATCGCATTCCTTCAACTGTAACAAGGGAAACTTCACCTAATTCATTGTTATCTTGAGCTGCAGCCCTTTCCAGCCTTGAACAGCCGCCCCATGTAACCCAGAAATACCAGCCGTTAACCTTTAGCTACTGTCATATACAACCCTAAACTTCCATCACATGCAACATTGGAACCCAGTGCAACCTGTAAAACTGTAACTTGTGAAATCCAGTGCAACCCACATGTGAGATGAGGGCTTCGACTACGCTGCACTGTCGGGGGGTGTCCGTAACCATCCTGGCAATGTCGTCGTGGGTTGCACGCAACAACGTCGGTCCGAATACGATGGCCAGGTTGTGGGCGTCCATCTTGTTGTATTGCGAGTGCTGCACCACCTGCTGCAGGTGCAGGCACAGCAGCCTCAGGGTCTCGTAGTGGAACATGGGCAACTCGTGCACCTGCAACACGAACCGTGTTAGATGACTCATCTGCAACACGTCGGATTATACATCGCCTAAAAGAAAGGTGAAAAATGCGTACCGTAACACTCAAGATGGTTGCACCTACAATGCACCAAGAGGTTAACCAGCTACCTGCAACACGGATGCTGGTGCACCTGCAACACGTCCGCCGGTGCACCTTTACTGAATTCGCTAGTGTATAACACGTGCCAACACATGCAGGCTAACCAAGGTACGCAGCTGCAGCAGACGTTGGTGAGGGTGGGGAGCAGCGGCCGCCTGCAGCAAGAGAGGATGCAGGTGGCTGGGCACGAGCGGCTCCGGCAGGCGCTGGAAGAACTGCTTCAGCAGACTTGAGATCACGTTCACGTCTCCCCACCTGCAGGCACAAGGCCGTGAGACTTGGGCATCACGAACACGAGGCAATGTGAACACAGACACATGAGCATCGAAAACACACACAACACACACGTGAGAAAAGTAGTAGTGTGTGAGGTGGGGCTGGCGCCAACGCATGCTAAAGAAGCGGTAAAGGTGGCCGACGAATGAGGACGATCGAAAAGGGAGGCAAGTGAAAAACACGGTCGCATCTACAAGCATTGCTCGCTAAGAAGGGATCGTGGAAAAAAGAACAGCAGGAGAAAAATTGTTGGGCGCACTGGAGAGGACCGTTGCAGCAGGCGGGATTCGGAGCCATCTTCAAGTAAACACGATGAATGCAAGTAACTGTCGTGGCCGACAGCAGCTGAGTGGTGCGAGTGGACGAGCAGAGCTTCTCCAGAAGCAATTGGAAAAGATGAAGTAGCCAGAACCCTGTCACTGCTCCACGCGACCTCAGTGTGGCGGAAAATCAAGAGAGAACGCTTGGCACTCTCGTAAAGTCAACAAGTTCTCTTGGGGGCTGTGAAGTCTTCCTTTGAAAAAATTAGATCCGATTATAGCCTCCAGAATATGCAGAGGTCTGGCATATTTGGTGTCAGTGGCCTCGTCGTGATGGGAGAAGGAGAAGTGGTCTTCGTTCTCGACCGCGAAATCATGGGAGGTCATGGAAGAGACTGTTAGCTCGGCGTCCTAACAAAAATGAAAAGCCACGACGTTTTAGTGATAAGCTTCACTGCACTAGAAAGCACATAGATGCAGTTGAGGTGGAGGATGGTGTCAAACATGAATTTGTCAAGGCGACCACTCAGCCGACTTAGTCAATGGATTGATGGACGGCCGACCTGCATATCTTCGTAACTGGGTGTAGGGTTTTAACCTAGTATAGAGTATGAAGTAGCCTATCCTGGAAACTTGAAGGGCACACACCGAGAACAGGAGTGGATTTGGACTGGAGCTGTTGAGCTTTGAGACGTGAAGAGACAAAGAGAAGAAAGAAATAATGGCACCAGAGAGGAGGCCACTACAGTGCCTACACCCACGATTTAAGAGTGCAGTAGGTACATAAAAAACACACACAATACAAACGAAGGCACACACACACAATACAAACAATGGCACACGCACACACTCTTTGAAGCCGACAACGCAGTCAGTGGCAGGACTCAGGAGGCAGTGGGTCGCCCCTGTAGGGTAAGACAGACCCCACCTGAAAAGCAGGTAGTCTAAGCACCTTGGGTCGGTGAGGTCGATTTGGGTAGGGTTGCGGTTTAAGGCCTCGGTGAGGTGGGTTACAGCAGCCTTGTTACCAGGAATCCTGTACAACCCCTGGCACCGCAACCCCTTGAGTTGCACCACCTCGACGCACGCTGCGACCACCAGCGGTACAGCGCCGTCATGTTGCTCGCTCTGCAATACGGACTACACTGTAGGCTACACTCTGGGTTAGACTGTATGTTACCTTCCGGGCTACACTGTAGGCTACACTCTGTGCTAGCTACGCTGTAGGAATAACCGCGGGCAACAGTGTACGCTACACTCCGGGCGACAGTGTAGGCTACACTCCGGGCTACAGTGTAGGCTACACTCTGTGCTACCTATAATATACAATGTAGGTTACACTCTGGGTTACTTTGTAGTCTACTCTGTACGTTACATTACGGGATACATTTCGGGACTAACTAAGTAAAAGTGGTAGTCAATTTATGGCACGAGTGCCGTACGTGGCCCGTGAGCCTGCTCAGTGTACATGTTGTAATATGAATATGTAAAAATATGAAACTAACTTTGTTTAGAATTAAAAAACGAGTCCATATTGTAGGCTTTACTGTAAGCTACAATGAGGACTTACACTGCGCGCTATTGTTGGGGACCTCACCATGGGGCAGAGGGGAATAGGGACTCCAAAGGAGGCCCCGGGAGGGTAGGTGGTGGCCCCAGGCCCCTGGTTTCTCTTCAGGCGCTTACCGAGCAGCCCTTTCCATGTCCTTCCCGAGGAGGGATCTGGGGAGGAGACATGAGTTACAACACTGCCACTCTTGCAACACTGCCACTCTTGCAACACTGCCACTCTTGCAACACTGCCACTCTTGCAACACTGCCACTCCTGCAACACTGCCACTCTTGCAACACTGCCACTCCTGCAACACCACCAAGCCTGCAACACTGCCACTCCTGCAACACCACCACTCCTGCAACACCACCACTCCTGCAACACCACCACTCCTGCAACACCACCTCTGCAACACCACCACTCCTGCAACACCACCAACGCTGCAACACCACCTCTGCAAAACCACTACCTCTGCAACACTCACACTCCTGCAACACCACCTCTCCTGCAACACTCACCGGAGGGAGTGGTGGGTGTGGCTGCTGGGGCGCTGCGTCTATTGAAGGATGGGGGCGGAGTGGGGGAGTGGGCCCTGAGGGAAGCGGGCTTCCTAGTGTGCTTCCCACCGAGAGTTGGGGGGTCGGGGGACCAGGGGGCTTCAGCCCCAGTGGGGGTCTCCGGGTCTCCAGAGGGGAACAACGCATCGTCATCCTGACGATAAAGTGATATTAGTTGCCATTATTTTCATTTTAAAATGAGCAAAACGTCAAAAACAACGGCAACAACAATGGTTAGGACAACAGCAGCAACAACAACAGAAATGGTTATGGTAAGGACGACAGCAACAGCAGCAACAAAAATAAGGAAAAAACGGAAACAACAACGATAATATTGGCAATGACAAAAACCAACGCAAAGACAACAACAACGACAACGGCAAAGACGAAGTTATCAACAATGATGTACGCAAATAGCAAATAATAATAAAAACAGCAACAGTAACAGCAAACTCATCAATGACAACAACATCAACAATGACAGCAGCAACAATAACAACATCTTCAGATACAACAGCAACCACCAAAACAACCACCGTAAGAACGATATATAAATCCATTACAACGCAAACAGCAACGATCACAACAGCAACAACAGAAACGACCATAAAGACAACAACAACTAGAGCAACGACCATAACGACAACAACAACTAGAGCAACGACCACAACAACAACGACAACAGCAAAGAACCTGGCCCAACTGCTCTTCTTCAATATGACCAACCTCTACCCCCAGCTACCTCACAAGGGTTGTCGTTGACGATTCTTTCTTCGGGTATACTGAAGAAAGAATGCCCAACCCACGGTCCCGCTTCCTCATCCAACCTCTAACTCATCATCTTCCTCAAACTTGATAATCAATCTATCCTTATCTGACTTCCATCATCAGACACATCTCAATCTCTCGATCCTTCCGTTCCCACGTAAATTTTCGCAAAGCTAACTGGCTGAGATAACTGCTGGGTAATCCGCATTTGAGGCTGCTCCGACCTCTATTTCGTGAAGATGCTAGGTAATGCCAAGATGGATATATACAGGGCTATTTTAAAATGAATGATCAAGTACCTATAAATTCAAAATAAAATATTTATTCACCAATGAAAGGAGGAAGATTCAGAGTTTTTCTAACATATTTATAAATGTTCAATATATCCCACTTGTACTGCACAATAAACATCTAAACGGCAGCCAAACTCGTCCCACACACAAGAAAGCATATCTTGTTACAGAGTGCACCGTAGCAGTGATACGGTTCTTCAGATCCACCAGAGTTGCTGGTAGAGGTGGGACGTAAACAGAGTTGCTGGTAGAGGCGGGACGTAAACAGAGTTGCTGGTAGAGGCGAGACGTAAACAGAGTTGCTGGTAAAGGCGAGACGTAAACAGCTTCCTTGACGTAACCCCATAAGAAATAGTTACATGGGGTGAGATCAGGTGATCTCGGTGGTCACAAGTGTAGAGCCAAATCTTCATTTCCTATGATTTCCTATGCGTCCTACCCAACGCTTAGGAAGTTGATACAAAAAGTTTCGGACATCATAAGCAGATGGGGGACATATTGAACATTTATAAACATGTAAAAAACTTTAAATCTTTCTCTTTCCCTTGGAGCATAAATTATTTATTTAGAATTTATACTTGAATATGTACGAATTTATTAAATTGGGTCCATCATATTTAATAACCTTATAGTATTTTCCGTGGCAACTAAAAACCAAATTCCTGATAGTTCCCGAAAAGAATTTTCTCTCTCCATTTAATCCAGCAACCAGAGACTCGTCGCACAGCGAGGTAATATGAACTGTGACAACCGCATAACTCCCAATTATAAATCTAAAAGTCTTAACACTAATACAGGCCCACATGAGGGAAAACGGGTGGTTCCACCTGGCTATATGCAAAAAAGAACTTATCCCCCTTCTTAACACGGAAACATTTGACTACACAACGGAAACTTGACAGCAATCTCTGCGAACAGTTAACCCCGACTATCCTCTATGCACATACCTCCGCCCCTCGCCTCAGGCGGACGATCCTATCAAGAAACCATATTACCCCCATGATCTGGGAACTTTCTTCCCTGTTAAAAAGGAAAACTGGTCATAATTTCGTAAACGAAGTCCCTACATCGGGATCAGTTCCTCATTTGGAAGTTCTTGGGACCACGAGCAATACAGTACTTCCTTCAAGTACTTCTCAAAACTTTCGAAAGCATCAGTCACTCCATGATTGCAGCATTGGCCCTCTGCCACAATTTGGTCCGATAACCGGCCTGCTACTTCACAGCAGGCTGGCATCCCGCCTCTACCTCCAATCCCGAGCCCCATTCACGTGGATCCCCACACAGTTGGCTAATACCTATACTTGCAGCACCTGCTCCTAATTGCAGTGCTTGCAAGAACCTGCAGCTGTCACCGCCCGTAGCGACTAACTTCACCTGTAACTGTCACCTCCTGCGGTTGCCACTACCTGCAGAGCGCCGCGCTGCAGGTGCCCCAGCCAGGTGGTCATGCAGACGGCAGACTCCGCCTGCAGCAGGAGCTGCGTGCCGGCAGGCGTCGTGATTCGTAGAACGTGGCGGCGTTTCGTGTAGTCCGCGGCATGCGTGATGGCCGCGCCCTGCACGCACAGCCGTAGCTCGGGCGCCTCGGCCGTGCTCTGCAACACGACACGATGTTAAGGTGTGACACGACATGATGTTAAGGCGTAACACGACACGATGTTAAGGTGTGACACGACAATATGATAAGGCGTAACACGACACGATGATAAGGCGTAACACGACACGATGTTAAGGCGTAACACGACACGATGTTAAGGTGTGACACGACACGATGTTAAGGCGTAACACGACACAATGTTNGGGCTAATGAGGTGTGAAGTGTGGTGAGGGCTAATGAGGTGTGAAGTGTGGTGAGGGCTAATGAGGTGTGAAGTGTGGTGAGGGCTAATGAGGTGTGAAGTGTGGTGAGGGCTAATGAGGTGTGAAGTGTGGTGAGGGCTAATGAGGTGTGAAGTGTGGTGAGGGCTAATGAGGTGTGAAGTGTGGTGAGGGCTAATGAGGTGTGAAGTGTGGTGAGGGCTAATGAGGTGTGAAGTGTGGTGAGGGCTAATGAGGTGTGAAGTGTGGTGAGGGCTAATGAGGTGTGAAGTGTGGTGAGGGCTAATGAGGTGTGAAGTGTGGTGAGGGCTAATGAGGTGTGAAGTGTGGTGAGGGCTAATGAGGTGTGAAGTGTGGTGAGGGCTAATGAGGTGTGAAGTGTGGTGAGGGCTAATGAGGTGTGAAGTGTGGTGAGGGCTAATGAGGTGTGAAGTGTGGTGAGGGCTAATGAGGTGTGAAGTGTGGTGAGGGCTAATGAGGTGTGAAGTGTGGTGAGGGCTAATGAGGTGTGAAGTGTGGTGAGGGCTAATGAGGTGTGAAGTGTGGTGAGGGCTAATGAGGTGTGAAGTGTGGTGAGGGCTAATGAGGTGTGAAGTGTGGTGAGGGCTAATGAGGTGTGAAGTGTGGTGAGGGCTAATGAGGTGTGAAGTGTGGTGAGGGCTAATGAGGTGTGAAGTGTGGTGAGGGCTAATGAGGTGTGAAGTGTGGTGAGGGCTAATGAGGTGTGAAGTGTGGTGAGGGCTAATGAGGTGTGAAGTGTGGTGAGGGCTAATGAGGTGTGAAGTGTGGTGAGGGCTAATGAGGTGTGAAGTGTGGTGAGGGCTAATGAGGTGTGAAGTGTGGTGAGGGCTAATGAGGTGTGAAGTGTGGTGAGGGCTAATGAGGTGTGAAGTGTGGTGAGGGCTAATGAGGTGTGAAGTGTGGTGAGGGCTAATGAGGTGTGAAGTGTGGTGAGGGCTAATGAGGTGTGAAGTGTGGTGAGGGCTAATGAGGTGTGAAGTGTGGTGAGGGCTAATGAGGTGTGAAGTGTGGTGAGGGCTAATGAGGTGTGAAGTGTGGTGAGGGCTAATGAGGTGTAAAAAGTGAAGTGTAATAACTAATAAGGTGAGAAGTGTGATGCAGAGTGAAGTGTGGTGAAGTGTAGTAAGGTGTAAAGTTTGTTCTAGAGTGAAGTGTAATAAGGTATGAAGTGTGGTGAAGTGTGAAGTGTCATGAGGTGTGAATGTAGTGCAGAGTGAAGTGTAATGAACTATGAAGTGGAGTGAAGTCTAACGAGATGTGAAGTGAGGTGAAAAGTTATGATGTGTGACGTGTGACGCAGTGAGTGGTGAAGTAGGTATATAAGTATATGTAATTTTTGGTGAAGTGTGGTGCAGATTGGGGGTACAGTATGTAGCGAAGTAAGAGGTGAACAGAAATGTGACAAATATTTGGCGAAGTATGCGGTGAATTATGTTGTGAGGTGTGATGTGTGTGGTGCAGCAGCGCTGCAGCGTGGNATGAAGTGTGGTGAAGCGAAATGAAGTGTGGTGAAGCGTAATGAAGTGTGGTGCACTGTGAAGTATGATGGTGAAGTTTGTGAAATATAGTGAAGTCTGTAGTGAATAGTATTGTGAAATATGATTAAGCGTGAACTGCCGTGAAGTGAAATGTGTGATGCAATGTGAAGATATATTTTTGGTGAATTGGACAACTAAATTGTGCGATTGTATGTGGAGTGGGGGTGAAGTTTGAATGGCGTGCGTGTTGAAGTGTGAGATGTTGTGTGTGATGAAGTATATGATGTGGGAAAAGCGAAACTAAAAATTGTTATGCTATTCTTACCGGTTCTTTGCATTACAATGTTATTCCTAGGGAAGTACAAGTAGCCCATGTAGACAACGGCGGAGCGCTTAAAACTTATAGGGAGTCCCACCTTCCACTCCCTCTCCCTCTCTGCTCCCCTACCTATTCTCCTACCTCTCACCCCTCTCTGCTCTCTTTCCTCTCACCCCTCTCTACTGTCCTCCCCCTCACCCCTCTCTATACTCTCCTCCCTCTCACCCCTCTCTACTCTCCTCCCCCTCACCCCTCTCTACTGTCCTCCCTCTCACCCCTCTCTACTGTCCTCCCTCTCACCCCTCTCTGGGAGCTACGGGCGCGCACGTTGCTCGCCGTGGTGTGTACAGCAGTGTATAGTGGCGTACACACTAGTGCTTATCGTACACGCCAATGAACACCGTACACACTGAACACCCGTGTACACCGTACACACCAGTAAAGATTAACAGCCTAGTGCGCGCTACACAGCTCGAATACCAGTGTTCATCGTACACAATACACATCCTTGTACACCATCAAAACCACTGAACATTTTACACACCAGTGTAACTGTGTACACCGTACATACCAGCAAACACCTTATACACTAGGGCACACCTCGTTTACCAATGTACACCATATACAGTACACACCCTTGTACACTATACACTACAGTGCACACCATGCAAGCCAGTGAACATTTCACAGACCAGTTTGCACCCTACTCATTCCCCTTACGCAATTCCGTCATATTTAATTTGTAAATTAATAAATTCTTAAATCATGTCCTGAGTTTAATTTATTTACATATAGGGGACCAGTGTGCTATGGATAAAGCAAGGCACGACCTTGTCTGCAATGAGCGCGGCCCAGGCAAGGCAGTTGCCTAGGTAAGCCCCACGTTGCAGGACACTCACCTACACCAGATAACGCTTCCGCCGTGGTCAACGCAAGTCGAGATCAGGCCACCGTGCGCCGCACTCGCGCCATGTTGGCCTCACTTTTTTCACTAATTGAATGGCCTAAACTTGACACTTTTATCTCACTGACACTAAAAATTTTTAAATACTAACACTCCGTAAGCTTCTATACTCGCAAACAAACTCTTCATCTGCAACGGAGAAAAATCGCTGATATTCCAGTATTCCCTAGTCTTACTTCGGGCGACAAGAAGTAAAGAATATGACGTCGAGCTTGGGTCCTCGAGTGTCGTCATTCGATGCACTCGGTCGTGACTGATGGAAACTAGCTAATTTAACGCTGACCTCATTAACATCAGCCTTACATAAACTATTTGTTATCTCAACGCAGTTTAAGGCTTAAAGCTAAGCTATATTATCCTATCTATGTAGCTAAATGTACACAGAGCCACACACACCATGGACATATAATCCAGGGCTACGTTCAGAAAGCTAGACATGTTTGTTCTTCATTGATAGGAATTGGTGAAAACCCGACAGCAGGAATGAGAGCATGAGTGTGTGACAATGCGTGTATTTACAGCATGTGGCTCGAGGAGAGTGTGATGCGAGCGAGAGATACAAGGCGAGCACGTGTCGTCTACTCTACATAACTCCGTTCCTCCAGCGCGTGACGATTGTCGTCGCGTCGGAGCGATCGTTCTCACTGCGACATTAGATGTTTAGGTGTCCTCACACTCCATTCCTACAATACACTTCAGTAGCCAGGCATCATTGTGTCTATTATACAATCACTCAATAACTAAAAGTGAATTATTGAATAGAATACCTAACGTGCTGGACCATCATATTAATCCTAGAACTAACGGTCATTGTTAAAATGTTGGTGAATGCAACGCCAAATTTCTAATGGAAGTTAGGCGCACAGCTGAGAGACAAGCAGACTTCATGGCGATACTGATACATGTGTTTGTTTCAACCATCAATACACTTAATATGCTAACATAATATATTCAAAACACGCGGTAATTAAAATTCACTGACACGAAAATAACAGGACTGGAATAAATAACTGTGCACATAGTGGCTACGTCATGCAACATCCTCCGCGACGCAGCACAACCTCACTCGACAGCGCGCGAGGCGACACTAAACAAACACAGCCGTGAGCCGTCGGTCGCAACGATCATCGAGGTGGCCGCGCGGACGCGAAATAAGGCCATAGCTAAGCCCCCAAAAGTTGCGAGCAGTTAAGCGTTGTTAAACTATTTCCCGAAGTGTACTATAATCGTCATCAATGCTTTTCGTACGTAAAAGCAAGAGATCTGAAGTTTACAATCAATGTACAGAGGAATATACAGATGCCGTTAAATTGCCGCGGACGAATTATTTGATTTTTCATAATAATGACCGTCGCCAGAAACCAAACTGGCCAGTAAATTGTAACACTTTCCTAGTTCATAGGTTTTCGGCCGGCAAACAGAAGAGGAAAGTACCTGACGCTAATACTATCGGCTAAAACTTTTCCCGTTTAGGAGCGACCCATAAAAGGACTGCCTGCGTGGTGAGTGAAGTTTTATTAGTACCGCATTCTCCCATTACGTGAATATTCTACTGACATTCCTCAGTAATGTGCCACGCATTGCTGCTCTAGAAGGCCGTGGTTCGCTATCGCAAATTTTTTGTGACACTTCTATTGCGCGCTCGTCCATTTTTGATGATGGCTGATTTTCGTGAGCAAAGCGCTGCCAGCTAATTTTTTTTTCGTAAAAAACTGAGAATGAAATGCTACAGACAGCTTACAAGGATTATGCTATGGGGAGAGCTCAAGTTTCAGTGGAGTTTTCGCGCTCCAAAAAAGGGAGAAATGTCAATTGACTACCAACCTCGCTCAGTTCGTCCTTCCACTTACCGCTCTGAAGAAATGTTGAGAAAACTAGTGACCTAATACTTGAGGATTGACGCAGAAGTATGAACGAACTTGCGGAACTGTGTAAGTGACTTAGAGTTCACTCCAGCAAATTATGAACAAATATTTTCGATAAATTAATATATTTTTAAAGAGTCATTCCGTTTTACTTTTTTGTGGGGGCCCCCCCACGCAAAGGCACTTTTAAAACGTTGCAGCTGCCGGCGGATGTCCGAGGCAAATTGTAGCAGAACTTTGCCTATAGTGATGCTTTGATACTCACCAAAGTTTCGCTGCCTATTCTGCCCCCACGCTGTCTTCCAGGATCGGTCCACAGCCCGCTGAAGGGAGGACAGAAGAGAGGCATTAGAAAAATCGATGATAACGGCTACACACATCCAGAGGTGGGCAGTAGCGCGCGACATGTAGCGGTTAAGGTAGTGGCCGCTACGTTTCAAAGCAGTGCTGCCCAGCTCTGCACACATCAATGATAACGGCTAAGTTTACGTTACTTCATCCTGCCGTAACCCCGCGATGCAGCAGAGACGGCGCCCGGGCCCAAAGGACCAGCAAAGCAGTTTAACTGAAGCTCTCAGTTTGGCCAACTGTTGCAAGAGGCTCTTACCTGCTTCTTGCTGATAGTACTTGGGCAGAAAGGGATGATCAGGGATAATGCTTGAAGATCCGTCTCTAGGAGGCCTCAAAGGTATAGTCTACCCCTCTGAGCAGTATCGGTAAGCCAATGAATAGCCATAGTCCCGCCAAGGAAAAAAAGAGCCCTCTAGCAGAGAATAAACTCTGACCACAGCTCTGCTGTACAATGAGTATTCTGAACAGTTTCAATCGCCTTTCAATGCGGTAATTTTGAATTCTCGATGCGTCATAATCAAAGTTTGTGACCATTCCAGATATCATCCAACAGTCTCAGCTAGGTGCTTCAGCTTCTCCCGGTAGTCCCGCGTCCACAACACCGCTAATCCGAGAAGTTATGGCGCGCCGGACCATGGTTGAACTGTACAAGGTTGACCCATGAGAAGAACATTTTTGCGGATGTAGTTCGTTGTTCGCCTGTGACGTCACTGCTCTCAGTGACGTCACGTGCATTAACCAATCACCGAAATGCGATCAAACCAGTCAACCAATCCGTCATGGGAATGACGGGTTTGTTTACGTTCCTAGATCTACGTGACGTAACAAGAAATCTGAACTGACCTGACTGACGGAACTTCTCGTGGGTCAACCTTATGTAGTTCAACCATGCGCCGGACTACCTACAATTACAGGCATTGCTCCTTCTATGAGCGCAACCCACCGCTGGCCACAGAACTTCAGATAGAAGAGGGCAAAAACTCAAAAGTGAATACCACGAGCGCCTCTTCCACTGTTTAAACTCCGTCAGATTTACCTAATCTGATTGGTGCATCTTACTGCCTTTGACGTTATGAGGACAACGAACGTTGCCTCGGAACTCATAATTACTTCGAGACCACGAACGAGTTATCCCACAAATGACGAATCAAACGCAGACGCAGCCCCAAGTTTAGATCAGCTATGAGGATTAAGATAGATTTTAGCACTGTTCCCTGTGACACTCCTTCTCCACTCCAAAACTTCGCTTTTTCACTTCGCCTCAGTTTGAGCCTCCAACTGCAATAGTTTTTACCCTGTCAGTCAGTGTTTCGGGACTAGAGTCACTAGACGAACAGCACACCCCAGACCCTCCAATTACTGAAGAACACTCGGGTGTCCATTTTTTTCGACGGCCTTTGCAGAGCCCAACTCGTCTTCTTCTCTAGCAAGTTTACATAAAAAGATTACATTCCAGCAACTTTAACAGGCATGAGCGACCATGCTTGAAACTTAGTCGTCAGCAATTAAATTGTCAGTCACTGTAGAAAAAAATCGTCAGACCTTTGACCAAACCTTTTCAAACACTTTGATTACAGGTCGAAGCCACGGGCCAAAAATTTAGGATCCACCTGTACACGACGTACTTGCCCTTGGCATACAATCAACCTTCCTCTCGCATATGGCTTCTTGCCCTCTTCACACGGCCTTTTTCCCCCTGTAAACAGCCTACCTAATTCCCTACACATGGTCTCTCTGCCTTCTACACACGACATATCCACACAACCTACTTGCCCCTATACACAGCCTGCCTAATCCCTACACTGCCTCAACGCCTGCAGCCCAGGGGCCATACTTTCAAAATTCGCAAAAGTTAACGTAAGTACTTACGCTCAATTTTCTTGTCTATGATGGGTGGATTTTGCTTGAAAGCCCGTCAATGATTGGCTGATGAACTTACGATCTCTTAACTTTTTTTGAAAGTATAGGCCTAGAATCCCCCAGCACCTTGCCATCGAGGAGGGCAAGCTTGTAGTGAAGGGCGCCATGAGCGGAGGCGTCCTGGGGATGAGAGGAGGACTCTGACACTCCCTCTTCCCCAACTGGAGCTGACGCTTCTGGAGGAACTCGTGGGGCTGGAGGAGGACTTGGAGGAGCTGGGGGTGGACTGGGGAGAGAAGGATCCATCAGAAATTCCAAGTTTAGCTCCGACACTAATAACTCGATACTACTAAGCACTCATCACCAACAACTTGCCATCACTCCCCTTGCCTAATTAGCATATGCATGACATAATAGGCATTTTAGCGAGGGTATAGACTGGACAGAAAGGCAGCAAGGATGTGTAATGTAAGTACAGCTTTTGCGTAGCTCCGTGTCATCCACCGTTTTGACATCCACCACTGGTCTCCAAAAAAAAAAAAAATTCATCAAAACTCAAAACATGCCGAAACACCACCATTCAAAACTCAAAGTGCCGAAACACCACCACTCATCAATTACAACGCTCCACCACTCACTGCAAGTCTCCAAGCCACTCGTCACCACTCACCACTCGTCACCACTCACCACTGGTCACCACTCACCACTCGTCACCACGCCACTCGCTGCTCGTCGCCTTCAGGTAGGACGACCGCCTAGCGAGCCGCTCTGCGTCGGGGCCTTCTGGGGGGAGGGTGGGGGGTTATTTATTTTAGATTTAGAACATCTAAATGTTACTATCATGTTCATCATTACGATGATATTCATCATCACAANCGACACGATGTTAAGGTGTAACACGACACGATGTTAAGGCGTGACACGACACGATGTTAAGGTGTAACACGACACGATGGTAAGGCGTAACACGACATGATGTTAAGGCGTAACACGACTCGATATTAAGGCGTAGCACGACACAATGGAAGGCGCAACACGGCACGATGTTAAGGCGTAACACGACACGATGTTAAGGCGTAACACAACACGATGTTGAAGCAGCAATATGTAACATAGAGATTGAATTGCCTTGGCGAAACTCCGTGAAACGGAAAATTTTAGGTCATACTCAGTAACGCGCCACGATGTAAAGGCCGTAGTCTCACTACCATATTCTATTGAGGGGCTCGCGAGGCCAGACCTGACTTAGCCTTATTTTCAAGTTAGACCTGGCCATGAAAATGAGACCTCGCTAGGCCTCATTTTCAGGCCAGATGTGGCCCTAACAGGGCCTCACTAGGCCAGACGTGGCCCTAACAGGGCCTCACTAGGAGGCCAGACGTGGCCTTAACAGGGCCTCACTAGGAGGCCAGACGTGGCCCGTATGAGGGCCTCACTAGGAGGCCAGACGTGGCCCATATCAGGGCAGTTCCAACGCACAGCGGCCGCGAGAAGCGGAAGCTGCGAGCTTCCGGCGCGCCAAGGTCGCGTGGTGCGGAGT